AAACACAAACACAAACACAAACACAAACACAAACACAAGCACAAGCATAAGCACAAGCACAAGCACAAACACAAACACAAACACAAACACAAACACACAAACACACACACACACACATACACACGCACACATACACACACACACACACTACACACACACACACACGCCCGCACACACACAGACGCAAACACAAAGAGACTCACTCGCCCAACAAAAACACAAGCCACACGAACCACCCACACACACACACGGAGAAACTCACACACACACACCAAAAACAAACAACACACACACAAACATAAGCACGAACTCACGCATCAGCACAAATGCAAACACGCACACACACACACTAGCACAAGAACAAGCACACGCACAAGCCCCAGGACCAGCTCAAACGCAGGCACGAGCACAAACAGACACACAACCACAAACTCAGTTGCAGTCACAATCGCAAACACAAGCTCGACTACATACACAAGCACAAGCGCAAACCACACTCAAACGCAAACACGAAAATACAAAACAAATACAAGCACAAACACAAACTCAGACACAAACAAACAGACACACAGACACACACACACAGACAGACACACACACACACAGACAGACACACACACACAGACACACACACACACACAAGATGATGCACTTGTGTTAATTAGCGCTTGATAGTGTTCGGCCCGTGTGCAAATGTGGGCCTGTGTGTTTGGAGGGTACCCGTTTCAGGCTTTTTATCAGGGACACAACAGGAACACCACCATTATTCGGATCTCCTTATCTAGACACATGCCCATGTGGTCTTTTTCAATTGTAAAGCACCAGGTTTCCTGGAAGACTGTAGGCACTTGGTTCTTGCTTTCCTGTTCTAGTCCGACTCCACTTTTTTTTTAATTGGGAGCGGGTTGAGTGTGGAAAGCGTGATTTGGTATCAGTTTGGTAGTGCTCGTATTGAGTAGCGCCCAATTTCTCCACAAGTTGGCTCTGTCAAAGTCACCAAACTCGAGCCCAGAAAATCGGACCACCTGATATTGTCCCGAAGAAGGGGGTTGATGTCTTGGGGAAGTCATAAGATCAGCTAATGATAGGTCCTTATCAGCTGGGTCCAACTTTCTGGTCCAGGGCTGGTGGGTGGTTTGTTGTGTGGTTCGTGTGTGTGGTCTGAAACCGTGGTTTTCGGTGGTGCATGCGTGGTTTGTAGTTTCGCGGATTGTGGTTGGGTGGTTGTTCGGGAGACATGAAACTGAACGTGCCTCTTTTCAGGTAAGCCTTTTTGGTGGGTTTAAAATGGAAACCAAGAGGCAAACAACCGTTTTGGGGTCCCCTAAAACAAGACACATCCTGGGCCCCTGCATGGTTTGTGGCCGGCTCCCAACTTTTTCTCCACTGTGTGGGGTCTCTGCACAGGTCTCTTTGGGCTCAGGTTCCGGCTCCCAGTTGGCGCTTGCGGACGGCTTTTTGGCTGTTGGACTACAGTCCTTGGTGGCTCCCAGCCATCCGGTTCCTTAGCTTTTTAGATCTTTTTCGTTGGTTTAGTGGTTAGATTTCCATTTCACCCACTAAAAGTCAAACTTTTAGCAGGGGATCTGAGGGCAGCCCAGAGTCCTCTTAGGCCTCAAACTTCCACTTGTTGGCGAGTATGTTTCACCCCACAGTGCTCCAACTCGGTCGGGTTTTGGCAGGGTCCACGAAGGCTGATGCTCACTGCAGCTGGGCAAGAGCACCACCCGTTCCCTTACACACGGCCCTGACTTTTAGACTTTGGGAGTGTAGCCCACCAACCATCATGGACTTCTTGAAGTTCTTGTAAGCATTACACAAGTTTCACTTGTCGCAAGGGAACGAACCACTTACGCACCGACTTGGGCATGGGTCAAAATCAAACCATCAGGATGTGCAGTGCTAGTCCTTGGTTCCATGTACCAGGGCAACCCAGTTTGGGGTTACCCTATTGACCCGCTACTTCTCTCAGGAGTTCCCGGAGATGTACCAACAGCTCATGGAATTTATGGAGAGCGCCTTGGCTGATCCTAAGGCCGCAAGCTAGAAACACACGGTTTTGATCGATGGGCGTGGCTGAAAAATCGGGGTCCCCCCAAAATGACTTCGGTTGTCCTCTTGGTTTCCCTTTGACACCCACCAAAAAACAGTATCCTCAGAAAAAGGCGAGCCACTCATACCTTTTTTTGTTGCTGCAGTATGCCAATCTTACAATCTTAGCCCCTCCAACACACGAGTGGTTTGATGGTTGATGACCAAGCAAAATACAAGAATCAATAGTTGTTTGATTGTTTGATCTAATCATCAATTCACACGTGTTACCTCCTGTCCACGTTGCCATGGACCGAAATCATCGTACTCAGTGGCCCTAGTTCCAACTGCTTTGGAGATCAGAACAACGGCGGATCCTCGTTGTTTCAGGTAACCTGAATTGGTGGTTCGGAGTGGCGGTTTCGAGATTTGAACGGGTCCCTCCTTGTAGAGGATGAATTGAAACCGCCCACCCCGAACCTCCTAACCACCAGTACCAATCAGAGAGAACCTCATTGTTCTTCCCAATTCGCAAGGTGAAATGGCAGTGTACACCAGGTTGGGTTAGCCAGCCGAAGCTGCTCTGTAAGCGAATCGTCCTAACCTTTTGGTTGGGTGTTTTTCTCGCCTGAACAGGTCGCCAATGTAGTTTAGGGCAGTGAGGTCGGGCGAATACTATGATACGTATCTCCATTGGTTGTCCATATTTTTTTTGGTACCCGTCATGTTCGGCCAGGTTAGTACGTGGTTCGCCACTTGGGTTATAGCCCACTAGCAGGGGTAACCTCACTGAATGGGCGACTTGTAAGTGGGTTATAGCCTAGGTTACCAACGACTCACTTGGCGAATCAAACACCCAAGCGGGCATCTCTCATTCCCTCTGCCAAAGCACCAGCTCTCCATGATATGTATCTCCACGGGTGTGTGTTCAGCACCCATGGGAACCCAGCTTCCAATAAAATCATGCCCAGAGGCCCAACACCAAGTCAACGCCTGGGTTGAGTGGCGGGGGGTCTGGCCAGGCCCTCAAGGGGCCATTTGAGTAGGTTCGGCTCCGATCCGTGCGGAAACATATTGGTTACAGTAAGCGATAGAACCAAAAGTCATTCGGTTTCCGGCCCTGGACAATTGTTTAGAGTTGTTTTTTTTGAGCGTCCTCCTTTTGGCTTTCCTTTCAAGAGCATGGTCTGGTCGTTCCAACCCCATTTGCCCAAGCTTGGGGTACATGACCCTTGCTTCTTTGTTTACTTGGGGGGGTTTGGGCCCGAGGGGCGGCGGGGGGCGGGGGGCAGGGGGGGAGTCCGGGAACCAAGGGGTAATCTGCTTAAAGGTGTTCAGGGCACAATTGTTGCATTCTGAGGGCGAACCCCGAAGCTCGCAAGATGCCAACGGTGGACATAGGTCCTTTTAATTTTCGCTTTGGGTGTGTGTCCCTGTTTTTTTCTCGAGGGAACTCGTTGGGTGGAAAAAAGGGAAGCCACGCCAGGGAGCCAAACACAATCGGGGAGTGTTGTTTTTGTGCTCCAAGCGACTGAGCTCCAGCCCGAAACACTCATCTACGAGAAAGTGTCCGAAGGGAAAACCCAAAGAGGTATGTGTCAAGATAGGGGGACCCCCAAACTGTCTTCGGCTTCCTCGTGATGTGCTTTGAAGCGACCTGAAAAGGCGCAAAAAGCAACCATTGGGCGGATGTCCACAAAACGGTGGTGTCCATAGTTTTTTCTTGAAACCTACCTCAGAAAGGGAACCGAGCCTCACACAAAGATGCCCAGAAGACTCTGAGATCGCAGGCAAGATGGAGGAAATCTTGGCGAAGCATCATGAGCAGATGCACGACAGTCTCTTGAGCCTTGACCGAGGTTAAGCCAAATCGATCTGGGCGGCCGAAGCCTCAGGTCTGGCAATTTTCTGCACTAGGTCCCCAGCAATTGGTGCCCTTCTGTACCCAAAATCTGGGGGAGGGTTCCACGAAAAGAGACGAAGCAGAAAAAAAGGGTACCAACTTATTCTAACCTCTCTACTGGCTTTTCCCCCACGTTTTGCTTTAAGCGTTTAGCGGCACCCTGGGACCCCCTTTTTGTTTGGCGGGTTCCCCTTGAAAAACGTCCGCAAAGGGTTCTACATGGTTTACGACCGAACGGGCCACCGGGCAACTGAGTCGCTAGCCACCTGGCTTGTATCCCAACAAAGTTCGTAGCGGGATATTGTTGACCCAGGATTAATAAACCCGTCCCATTATTAGGGGGGGGGGTTCCCTCCAAAAGTGATGAATCCCTACAAAAAGGGAACACCCCTCCTATTAATCAACCAGGGGTTATTTATCCGGGTTAACATTATGACCGGCGTAGACCGGGGTCACAAGCAACTTATTAACCCAACGAACACCTAAATACGGAACAGTCCAGCAAATAAGATGGGCAACTCGTCAAGCTGTGCGCGCGCTGAGCATCTCTCAGGAAATCCCTGCGTTCTGCGCAGCTGGGATCGGGCGCCGTTGCTTGCGAACGCCCTCACGATCGCGGAGCCTCAAAAGGCGGGAAAGAAAGACGGCTTCTGGGTTTTATTTCTGTAATGAGGACGCTTGATTTGTTTGCGGGGATTGTCCAATGTAGAGGGCATCCGGGATGTGGACTCACAAATCAGCGACGTTGATTCAACCCGGGGTCAACATTAGTTGCAAATGAAAGCCACAGCTGAATGGGAAAAATACCCCCACACCCAACCCAGGCCAAATCATTACTCAACACTTGGATGGGGAGCTAAATGGTCAGCAACCTTGCCAGGATTACTCCCCAGCAAGTTGGAAGGAATCGGACACTGCCTCTAAATAATGGTTTTTTTTTGGGGTTCCACGTCCATGTCCAGCCCCTTTTGCCTTCCCTGACACCTGCGGGGAGCAGATGCCCGGAGCTTTCTTCGGGTTTCGCCGGTCTAGGTTTGGAGTGGCGACAGGCGAAACTGCCGTGTGTCTCCTTTTAGGCCGCCACCCCCAGAACCCCAGAACAATAAAGATGATAACAATAGCTAATAACAATAACAACAATAATGATCAGGATAGTGATAAGGCTGTCGCTCAAAATTAAACAGGAGGGGTTACGCGGGTTTTGGTCCATGTTTCCACTTACCAGGGTTCCATTTTGGTACCGGTTTTCTGAGCCACACCCATAATAACAATAACAGTAATTTCGATGACGTATGGAGGGTGCAAGTAGAATAAGTCATTCTCTTACCCCCTTCCATACCATCTGTTTGTGTGAGTCTACCATAGGCTGGTACTTCATAAGTGCAACAGATATCAGAGCATGTGAGGGGTGCGGTGAAAGCCCTCTAGCTCCCATGCAAACTAGTTGCGCGCAAGAGTTGGTATAGCAGGCGCGCGCGTTTTTAGTCCAATTTGCACCCTCCTGGGGACAGTCATGTTTGTGGGCTTGCTTTTTCCTTTGGGTACAATGCAGCAAGTAGCGTCAAGAAGCAACTATGAAATGCAGGCGGGTGCCTTGTCAAATCTTTGTTTCCTGGAAGCAGCATCTTACAATTCCCCTTTGCATGACTGTAGCTCGCAAGGGGGTGGTGGATGAAGTCATGAGGTCCTTCCCTTAGTTCCTTGTGAATGAAATGCACTTGCCATAGGCTGCCTTTCCATTGGCCATGCGTGGCTAGCAACCCTCCAGTAAATGATGAAATCTGGTGGCAGACCTACAAGTATGAGCAACGTTACTTTCCACATCATCAGGGATGGGTCCTCCAGCTCCTATGCAAACTGGTGGCATGCAATGGCTGATATGGCTGGAGGTAAGAGATCTCCTACTTGCATCCTCCATATTTCACGAACACAATTTCTGCTAAGTAGATCCCCTATCGGCAACCCAAGAAAGCCTCACACCTCATGTTCATAGAACAGCAATGGAACATTGTGATGCTCAGCGCAACATGCAAAACACTGTTTTTTTCCATGAACAAACACAAATTTAACACAAGAACCCAGGCCTCCACAGCGTCCCACACTGGTAAAAAATGGGACACCCGGCCCACTCCACCAAAGCTTACTCCCCACACTGCCGGTACCATGGGCCCGGATAGATTGGTTGAGGCAAACAATCATACAATGGCCTTTTGCTGGGGACATGGGTGCGGCTCAAAGAATAGGTGCCCAACATGGAACACTGGCAACTTGAGACCTGCGGTCCTTTGGCTCTTAAAATTTACACTTACATGGATGGGGGGATTTGCCTGCCCAATTTGCCCCAATGGTTGCTAGTCACGTCAACATAGACCGGGGGTCAGCAACCCTGTTCCAAAGTGACGAAGGGGGGTCGCCCAATTTTCCCATGTCTCTGGAAACGAGCCATTTTGTCTGCGTGCCATATTTTGGATAGCAGGTTTGCAAGCCATCACCAAACAGAGGCAGCCACGAAAGACGGGGCAAAAGGTCAAGCCTGTGTGGAAACTTTTTGTTGACCACACCTCTTCGTGGGGAATGTCTTTGGAGAAGGCCACGGCGTAGGACGTAGACTCATGGAATTTTCATTGACCAGGGTCCCTCACCACGTAATACTGAGCGGGTGGTCATCCCACCAGTGCCTGGTTGCATCCTTTTTGGTGACTATACAGGAAGTTGTCATGACTTTGCGCGTAAACTTTCTAGTGGTAATGAGAAACAATAGGGACTCCCACTTTGGAGGTTTCGCAATGTTGAAACATATATTGCCCAGCAACTTTGCAGGTTTCTGAGCGAGATGGCACATATATATATATATATATAACATCCGAGGTGTTCTTTGCAGTTGCCACGACGCCTTTTTGATTGTGGCGCTTGCGCCATCCCTCGATGTTTTGGCCCGTTCCCCATGTTCAGGTCGCCGAGCTTTTACATGGCTGTCTCAACTGGGCAAATGTCCGAAGACCTGCGCACTTGTGGGGTCTCCTCAGAACAGTGTGTATCTTGTTGGTACCCTTTTTCGGCTGTTTGAAAGAACAACTAGATGAGACACCGTCATTTGTCGGGTCCCCGCGTTTAAGACACATTGCATTTTGAGGTCGGATAAATATGAACCATCTGAAGATATGTTTGGTGACCCTTCTCTGGCGTCGGGCCAAGGTATTTGAACATGGACACGAATCCAACATGTGGATGGTTTCAAAGCCAGTTCTCACTTCATCCATCCCAACTGATTCGAAGCGGATTTTGCCCGCAGTATGAGTGCTTCTCACAACGGCAGACCCTTTTTTGGTCGCCTTGGTGAAGGAAAGCAGCCAGCGTGAGGGAGCGTTTGGAGAAAGACCCATATGATTTTGGTTGGGCCAGCCGATGGAGCCTTCTCAAACGAGGATCGATCCATCAGACATCATCCCGCGCGATTTGCATCTCCTTGCGGATTCGACGGCCCAAAGCTTCCCAGAAGTGCTCTACTTCCGCCTTTTTTTTCTTCTTCCAACGGAGGCTTTGCTGCTTTGGGTTGCATTTGCTTAGGATCTTTGCGTTGGTTTCGGCTATGAGGTTAAAGGGCAACCAACCTCAGGGACGAATAATTCTGTGTTTACCCGCTGAACTGTGAGATGAGGAGTGGGCACCCGCTTTTCCTCCTACCTTGGTGGTGGTGGTGGTGGTGGTGGTGGTGGTGGCGGTGGTGGTGGTGGATGGCACTGGCGGCGGAGCGGCACGGAATGGCGAGCTTGGTGGGGGTGTTTTTCGCCACAGAGCCGGGTGAATCACCTCGGCATCGGTCGACTGTCTCCGCGGCCAGCGGTTCCGCCTAGAGAGACCTTCTGCCGAAGGGGCGGTTTCGCCCGCGGAACAGGCGCAGCCGCTTCCAGGTGCAGACGAACCCGATTCCGAAGAAGCGGCGGTGGTGGCGGTGGTGGTGGGTGGACGCTTTGAGTCCATGTTGTTGACCCAACCCCCAAAAACCAAAGCCCTACAAATCAGAGGTTGCAAACTAGACCCTAAGTGTGTGCATCGTTCTCCGGAAAGAGGTGGTAGGTGAACGCCTCGACGCCCCCGTCAGAAGCCTCCACCCCCGCGCCCCGGCCCCTGAGGAGCTGTGAAGAACAAACAGGCGTCGAGTACTAAGTCTGCCAGGAGTTGGGGCTAACCTGGGTGCTGAAAATTGCACAGCTTTGCTCGAAATGTCCGGATTTGGCTAAGGGCTGGAACAGGTGGTTGGGCATGAATCCCCACCAACATGATGTCCGCCTCTTGAAATCCCCGCCCATTTGTCCATGGTTCATTTCGGGACAAGGGTGACTCACTACATTTCCCCACAAAAACTGGGCGGGTGGCCCGAAAGCATTTTCCATGACGCGCAGCCTAAATCGGTCCATTTTCTCCAATTATGCATTTCACTGTCTACTCTGCGCACGCCTCTATGCACTTCACTCTGTGCTTGCCCTATGCGTGCCTCTATGCACTTCACTCTGTCTACTTTCCCTGTGCATGCCTCTACGCAGTTCACTGCCAACGTTCCCTGCGCAAGCTCCTACGCATTTCACTGTCTACTTTCCCTGCGCATGCCTCTCTGCATTTCACTGTCTACTTTCCCTGCGCATGCCTCTTCTCCCTACACATGCCTCTATGCATTTGACTCTGTACCTGACCTCTGCATGCCTCTAGGCATTTCACTGTCTACTCTGTGCATGCCTCTACGCATTTCACTGTCTACTTTCCCTACGCATGCCTCTATGCGTTCCACTGTCTACTTTCCCTGCGCATGCCTGTATGCATTTTCTCCCTATGCATGCCTCTATGCACTTTACTCTGTATTTGCCCTACCGTGCCTCTACGCGTTTCACTGTCTACTTTCCCTGCGCATGCCTCTACGCGTTTCACTCTCTACTTTCCCTACGCATGCCTCTATGCGTTCCACTGTCTACTTTCCCTGCGCATGCCTGTATGCATTTCACTGCGCACTCTCTCTATGCATGCCTCTATGCGTTTCACTGTCTACTTTTCCTGCGCATGCCTCTATGCACTTCACTCTGTACTTGCTATTTCACTTTCTACTCTGTGAATGCCTCTATGCAGTTCACTCTCTACTTTCCCTGTGCATGCATCTATGCACTTCACTCTGTACTTGCCTTTATCCATTTCATTGTCTACTCTGTGCATGCCTCTATGCATTTCACTGTCTACTCTGTGCATGCCTCTATGCGTGTCACGGTCTACTTCCCTGTGCATGCATCGATGCACTTCACTCTGTACTTGCCCTGGGCCTGCCTCTATGCATGTCACTGTCAACTTTCCCTGCACTCTACGCACTTCACTCTGTACTTGCCCTATGCATGCCTCTATGCGTTGTATTTGTACTTTCCCTGCGCATGCCTCTATGCATTTCACTGTCTACTTTCCCTGTGCATGCCTCTATGCATTTCACTGTGCACTTTCCTATGCATGCCTCTATGCGTTTCACTTTCACTTTCGTTTCGCATGCCTCTATGCATTTGACTCTGTACTTGCTGTCCAGTTTCCGACCTTGCAGCCGGAGCTACTTTGCGTACTAGTTTTGTATTTAAAAGTTACGACTTTGCAGCCGCAGCTGCGGGGACGTACTTCGCGTACTACTTTTGCACTTGAAAGTTGCGACTTTGCAGGCTGATCCCTGCAGACGGTCGCGCGCAGATATGCGAAGATTCACACGGGACCATTGCGAGAGCGATTTGACACGCACGATCCCCGCAGAGGGTCGTGCGCCCGCCTCAAGAATCGCAAAAAACAACGCAGTTTTTGCACATCGACCACGCCGATCTCCGCAGAGGGTCGCGCGGGCAAGTTGAACATTGAAGAAACTCCAGGTTTTGCACAGCGACCGCGCCGATCCCTGAGAGATTTTCGCAGAGTGCGCTCGGTCCCACCGCGCCGCCTCAAATTTTTAAGAAAGGAAAGCGTGCAAGCTTCCTCCTGCAAGTTATGCTCGTGCAAGAAGAAATGCAAGATCGCTACGCATTTCACGGTGTACTGTCCCTATGCATGCCTCTATGCATTTCACTGTCTGCTTTCCCTGTGCATGCCTCTATGCATTTCACTGTCTACTTTCCCTGTGCATGCCTCTATGCATGTCACGGTCTACTTTCCCTGCGCACATTTCACTCTGTACTTGCCCTATGCATGCCTCTATGCACTTCACTGTCTACTTTCCCTGTCCATGCTTCTATGCATTTCACTGTCTACTTTCCCTATGCAGTTGCACTGTGCAGAACGCAACGAGTTTACCGGAAGAGCCCTTTCTTTGCAATGCTTTCGGGAACTAGGCTCCAGGAACGCTTTTGGTAGAGGGAAGCCATCCGTTCTGAGTTGGTTCCCCTTGAGGAGAAACCCACTTTGCCAAAACGATGGGTGTGCCGAATCCGGGACTGCAGGGCGACAAGAGTACGGAAAGTGCACAAAAAGGGGGGAAGGTGACAAATAGTGCAATTCCCGATTTCCGGACTTCGGTAGACTTCTATATGTGTTATTTTCTCGTGTTGGCTTTCAAGGGAATATATCACTACTGGAAATGTGTCGATTTGTTCCAGGGGAATTTAGCAAATAGAGATAGAGTATTGAGGAAGTGCAAATGCTACGAAATTACCTTGATTCCAGATGTGAAACGCGCAAGCTACAACATGGCCCCCCCTACCTTCAATAGGGTCCAAAATGCGCCAAAAATGGCCGAAGAGGGTTCACTATGGGGCGGTTTCCGGCCCTTGGCACTAGAATTCATTGGAGCCCTTGTCATTCCATTTCGATTTTCGCTGCTTGTCTCGTTGCTTGTTTACAGGTTTGTGGTTTTAAAGGTATACCCGGTATACCGGTCTCATAGAAACCGCAGTGCACAAACATTTCCTAAGACTACAGAAATAATAGCGAGCTCACCTAGGGGTAGTCCGCGCGACCAATTCTGAAGGTTCCTTCACTTGCGGATTTCTTATTTTCAGTTGTGAATATCGCAAATTGCCCAGATATGATAGCTCCCGGCGAACCATATTTTTTTCCCGGCAGGTCTCGCCTTTCCAGGCGCTTTGGGCCATTCAAACCAATTGATCGTCCCTGACCCTCGCCCCGAACCTTCTTCCTCGGAGGACTTTGGACGTGCCGATGCCGATGCCCAAGCGCAACTCCATCATCCGGAATGAGGCGTGCGGTGAGTCGAAGCGAAGCGACCGGATCCTCAATTGTGAAGTGGCACCAATTCTGTTTCCCTTTTTTTTGGCGGCTGCCCCACTAAAAATGGTCTTCCCCGAAAAGGGTTCCCTTTTTGCCGTCCGGGTTCAAAGGCCCCTCGGCTCAGGGAGCTGAGGTTCCGGGGCTGGGCTGGGGCTCCCTTGCCCGGTCCAGCGTCCAAAAAGCCATGGCTGGCAGCTCCGTCTTCAACCTGCTCCTCGTGAACCCCCTGTTCACCCTCTTCTTGGCCGTGTTTGTGGTTTGTTGTCCATGGGGTGCTTCTGCTTGGAGGCGCAGGCTTTTGGCCCGCCGTACCCGTGAAGATTCCCGGCCTTTGGGCTGGCCCCATCTTCTGAACACCTGTTTGGGTGAAGGTGCCGCGGGCCTTTCCTTGCGGGTTTTTGACCCCTCTGATGACTCGTCCTCTTCACGCTCTGCGTCAGCATATTTGGGTGGTTCTTCCTGGAGCTTGGTTGTGCCCTCTCGTCACTGTGGGACTTTCGGCAGTTGTGATGCAGGCTGCCTTTCTCATGGTGCCTTTGGGTCTCCAGTACTTGCAGCAGTCGGTGGCAAGGTAGATGCGGGATTTTTCCTACCTTCCCTGCCGGTGGGACTGGTACTTCGTTAGTTTACAGTCCCTCTACTGTGAGTGGCTGCAGCCGTGTGGTGCTTGGCCTTACTTCTCGGCGTTCTTGGGCCAACGGCTCCGGAGGCCCCGACTTCCTCTGGCTGGATGTGGCTTTGTTGCTGGATCCCTGTTCAACTTTCGGGTTCTCCGCTGTGTACAGCAGACTTTTGATTTTGTGATCTGCCCTCTTCTGTTGGGCGCTTCAATTCGATGCCACGTCACTCCGGGTGGCACTCCGTTTCACGCAGCACCTCGCTGCCCACTACGCCATGTGTGGGGTGAGGCTTGGCCCCCCGCACATTGGCTTTATGGGGCACCAGTTACCCGTTTCTGTGAGGTCCTGGGGCGGCATGCCCCTGTGACCCGCGTTTCCGCATGTCCTCACCGACATGGAAGCGCCACGAGTCAAAAGGGTTCCCTTTTTTTCCAGGGTCACTGAACAAATGAGGATCTGACCTTTTAGTTTCCCTTTTTTGGCAACCATCTTTATGGCTTCAAAAGGTGATCACCTTGTATTTCTGGGTTGGGTGAATGGAATCGGCAAAATTCATGATATCATCATCCCTGTTCAACAGAAAGCTCATTGAATTCATCGTGGAACGGGAGTGCTCCAACATTGCTTGATTCTCAGAATGTCCCAGCCCACTTTGGCGGATAAAAATCGTTGTGACAATCGGGCCAAAATGGTGTTGTTGGGGACTTCCCTTTAAAAACCACACACACAAATATGGTACCTGGAGGCTTCTTCTGACCCGAATCAAACATGGGGCAACCATTTCATTTGGGTCACCCCATGTTTAAAGGGGTGCGATTCGGCTCCAAACCCAAAAGCGGCCCGATCCCATCTCCAGATGGGGGATGTTCTCTTGTGCCTGCGTAGGAAAAGGCCCGAAAAATCATATGTCTCTCCTTTGGGGGAAAACACCAGCCCAAGGGCGCAAAAAAATCACCACCCCAAATCTATACTTCCATTTGCTTGAGAATATGTTTTCTTTTGTTTAATCCAGGGGACTTAAGCAAATGGAAGTATACCTTTGCGTTTTGTTTGGTTGCTTTTTCTTCTTTTTTTGTGGGTGGCTCCCAACTCCCGACTATCTCTTGCACGAGACGCATGGAAGGGCAGGCTGTTCTGTTCAGATGCAGACACTCGGGCCATGGAGAACAAATAACATGTCCAACCAAAAATCAGCCATGGAAGAAGGGTGTGTTTTGGCCTAGAAAAAGGCCCCCGAATACAAATCACAACGCTCCTGGTAAAAGTGAGTCCCCACTCAGCAATTCATATCATTTGGATTGTTCCAAAGGGAAGCCCCCTATAATGAACTCCTGGTAACCCCTAGCAACCCCTGTACAAATCTATCTCAGCATGATCCGGCTGTGGCATCTCAAAACAAGTCCAATGTTCAACGTCCTCATCCCGGTGTCTTACTCGAGCTGATGGCGCTTGTGATCGCCCCTCTCCCGCCGCCCCCCCTCCCCCCGCCCCGGATTCGGGTGCGTTTAGTCCATGGGGGCGTTTAAAGTTTCAAAATAAGCTATCCCTTGTCCGCTTGAAATGGTTCTCCACGCCCATCACAGGGTGTGTCCCCCACACTACAGGTCCAAGCTGACAAGAAGCGCTCTTCAACAGTTTTTTCTTGCGCTCGTGAGCAGCAGGTGCGGTCTAAGGAAACCCTTCTTCTTCAACAACAATCAGCCAACCAATCGATACATTTGGCACGAGACTTCAACCTGGAAATGGGGAACTGATTATTGCTCGACTATAGGTGTAAGAGTGGTCAGCCCTTCACCCAGACCGCCAGTCGTTTGTTGTTTTGGTTTTCAAAGAGCCTTCGTAAGGGGCTGCCCTTTTTAGGCAACCACCCAACAAAAGTGTGTCCCTTCAGACTCGACCACCAAACATGGGCTTCCCTTAAAAATCAACCGCCGAAAAACGATTTCCCTTTAATTCAACCACCAAACAAAGTGCGTGTCCCTTCAATATCAACCACCAAAAAAAGTGTGTCGCTTCAAGATCAACCAGCAAAAAGTACGCCCCTTCAAAATCAATCACCCAAAAAGGGTGTCCCTTCAAAGTCAAACACCAACAAAATGGCGTCCCTTCAAAATAAGTCACCCAAAAAAGGTGTCCCTTCAAAGTCAAACACCAACAAAATGGCATTCCTTCAAAATCAACCACCAAAACCAAGGCGTCGAATTAACAACTTGCACAGGTGTGGCAAGAAAGGTCATCAGCTCTTCCCAGAGACCTCCGCCATGACAATGACCCGCGAATGATCAAGGGCATTTTCAGGTAGAGGATTTGGAGGTTTGGCGGGCGCTATACCGCACTAAGGGGTGTTTTCTGCGGTGTATGCTTGTATTGGCGGTATATCCAATAAGCGAATCGACCCAATCGAACCTTTCGGGTTTGGTCTATGGGTCAAGGTCCTTCATTCGACTCGTTTTTCTTCTTCTCCAGATCCTTACCAGTGAGATAATTTTTGGTTCCCAGCCATCCCCTCAAGATTTCGGTTTTTAGTTGGTTTAGTGGTAGGTGCATGTTGCTTGGATGTTAGGACTTTAAGCTTTTTGCCAACGAATGGGGTTTCCATTAGACCACTACACCCAAACGCGAAAGTCCTTGCATTTTCGTGTTTTTCTTGAAAGTCCGCAGCCTGCCAGTAAAAACAACGCAACGAGTAGTCCCGGCGGGGTCCTTGCAACTGAGCCTTCCCCACTGGCACACGGCGCCCAAGTGTCTCCTAAAACTGCTTTGTTTGAGCACCACTACGGACGCAATCCCCATGGCACATCGCATACCAGTTGGGACCAAGATGTTGCTTGACTATGTGTGTTTGCACGCCAAAAAGAAGGCAATCCCCATGGCACATCGCATGCTCAACAACATCGAAACAAGTCTTGCAAAACAAGTTCGTGTGCTAGTACGAAGGCAATCCCCATGGCACATGCATACCCAAAGGCAACCAAACACATCTCAAAGACATCTTTTCGAAGCACAAAAATGAAGGCAACCCCCATGGCACATTGCATAATCAACCGCAATGTGTCTCCTAAAACTGGTTTGTCTGAGCGCCGCTACGGACGTGATACCCATGGCACATCGCATATTGCAAGGCACTTCAGCGCATTTTAAGCATACGTGTTTAAGTATGAGTAAGAAGGCAACCAGCATGGCACATCACATGCCAGTGGTAGTAGTAGTAGTAGTCGTGGTGGTAGTAGTAATTAGTAGTAGTAGTAGTAGTAGCAGTAGTAGGAGGTGCCTTGTGTTAAGTTTTTGGCAAGTTTACCCAGGAAAAAAACGAGTCCAAAAACGAGTCTAAAACGAGTCCGAAAAGAAAGAAAACGTGCAGCCGAAAGAAAGAAAACGTGCAGAAAGAATACGTATTACAAGCACTTGTTGAAGATACGTGTTTTTCAAGCGTGTGCCAATGCGATTGGCCTCCCAAAGCCCCAGCTTCAACAACGCAAGCTGTTCTAGGAGTCTTGTTGAGGATGACTGCGTGTGCCAATGCGATTGGCCTCCCAAAGCCACAGCTTCAACAACGCAAGCTGTTCTAGGAATCTTGTTGAGGATGATTGTGTGAGCTAGGTTGCGAGCTCAAAAATTGTTCGAATCGTGTCCACAAACACTTGGCACACAGCTGAACAACACAAGGAACCAGACTCCCATGTGTTAGTTGACTGAACCTTCTCATTATCTTGGCCAGAGGCAGTGTGCCATTGCATTTTGTGATGGGAGTGGGCCTCAACATTCAACAGCGCACCTTCGCCAAACACTCCTCAAAGTATCCGGCTCCCCATGGCACACCAGACACTTGGCTTTGTGTACAGTGGGGGGCTGGGGTAGCACTTGCGTCGCCAGCAACATCTAAGCCTGCAAAATGGCTTCATGCCACACATCATAAAAGACAGCATGATCATGACCCTAAATAGCTTTCCCCACTGGCACACTGCTTGCGGCGCGAGATCATGGCTTGCGGGGCGTGTAACCACAAGGACCCAGTAAGTGTTTTTTCAGGCGTGTGCCAATGCGATTGGCCACCCAAAATGCCTCAACATCACCAACACAAACCGCGATCGAGGGAAGGTGTGTTCCATGTGTGCCAGTGCGTTCGGCCTACCCAAAAGACCTCAACTTGATCAATGAAACCATCTCAGGGGACCACGTTCAGCATGTATTTCTCTACAAAAAAGACCTCAATATCACGCAGCAATTGTCTCTTGAAAACATGCTAAACCAAACGCCACTGGCACACGGAGTTGCAACGACCCTACCGGATGCGTTTCGTGTGCGTATTACACGAAAAGCATGCTGCCAAAACCAAACGCAACGACTTTCACAGGTGAGAGTAAGAGTTAATTTTTTAGCAGGGGAGCAGAAAGCAACGAAATTTAAACCACAAGTTAAACGTAGCAGGGATCTGAAAACGGACAGCCCAGACAGGGGCATCCCCTCAACTCCAACACCCCCAAAATGGCATCGGTTTTCCTTTGATGTCCTTTAATACCAACCCAAACAAGGGGTACTTGGATGCTCCGCCAAGTCAGTAAGTTGTTAGCCACCTGGGTTATAACCCACGACTGGGTTAACCCCTCATAAGACTTCTAAGTGGGTTAAAACCCAGGAGACAGCTTGCGCACTTGGCGAATCGAACACACCCAAGTGGGCATTTCTCTCATTTTTTGCTGCCAAAGCACTAGCTCCATGATATGTATCTCCATGGGTTCTGTCAAATGGTTCACCCCAAGCAGCAACTCCAGGACATGCCCTCTAGCCTGCACGCGCCGGAGCCGCCCCTTGGAATGGCGATCGAATTGGGGTAAAATCAGGCTGTGGTTTTGGGCTGGTTAGACGGGGTTTCTGTTTGGAATCGGTGGCTGCGGAACTTTGAAGGTTGTGAGCCGGGTGTTGTTTTCCCTTGTGAGCCACGCGCTCAAAGCCCGGGTAGAAGCTTACCGGGTAGAAGGTTAGGGACACTCCCCTTGCAATAAATAGCTGCGGAATTCCGCCTTCTTAATTCTTTGGTTCTGGGTAGACCATTTGAATACCGGGTTTTGAGCAAGTGACTGTGGGTTTCAGAGGGAATCGATTTCACTGGAGATATGTTTATGGAATCTCCAGTCTTGAGGGGTTCGAGCTTCCATGGAATCGCCGAGGGCACCTCCGGGCTCGCGACTCTGTTTCACTCACGGCCCAAAGCGAATGGACCGCATCTGACGTTTGGTTTCCGTCCTGTCTGGGGCCTTGGCCCTTCAACAGCTGAACCTTCTGAGCCGTTTGGGTCGGTGGGGTCGGTTTGGGGCGGTTCTGAGAGGGAAGCCGACACCAAGGGGGGAGCCACAGTTTGGTCGGTCTATTTTGAGCCCGAGTCCCGACGGTTTTTGGGGCCTCCAAATGGGTTGTTGTTGAGGGCCCTTGAGGGGTCAGGGGTCTGCATTGGAGCTTACGGAGACCGGTCGATGCCATGGCCTTGAAACCACGGTTTGAGGCCCCCCAAACCGGGGTTCCTCAAAGGATACCATGCATTTGTCTCAAAGAGCATCCCCCCGACAAAAAAAACCAAAAAGCATTTTAACCAAACCAAAAGGAGCACCTATATCTCGAAAACCACCTGATTTATTAAGGAATCTTCAACATCCGCTTTTTTAAATATATATATATATATATATACACTGGCAGCTGGTATCCTGCGCCCCACCCCAAGCCTGGCCTTCCCATCCAAACCCGGGATTGGGCACTCCTGGTTGCCTAGAGTCAAATGCTCGAACCTGCGCGGACCGCCAGAAGTCCGATTTGCCCACCTCACAAGTTGTTTGTTTTTTGTTTCTTCTCGTGTTCGAGGGGCTCAACTTTGAGCAACGCGACCAGCGGCACATCCAACATTCGCAGTTCCTACCGCTCCCTTTTCCGGTCCCGAAAGCTGCAGATGGATAGACTCGAGCCAATCTCTCGGGGCCAGTAGGCTTATGGCCACCCAAGCCATTCCATGGGTTGATTCCAGTCTGTTTTTTTTGAAAAGCCAGCCTTTTTTTTTCTGGGTTTCCAGAGGTTTTCTAGAAAGGAGTTTTGGAAAGAATGAGGAAGGCCCCTAGAAGTATTATGTAGGTAACCTGCTTGGGTTTGAACAGGTGGTTCCCCTGGTTACAAGAAATGGTATTTGGAGTCAATATCGCTCGCGTTTTTTTCTTTTTTTGCAGCCCCCATTCTCGCTGCGCGCTCGGCGGCTTTTGAAAGCGAGGAAGAACCGCAGCGTGCCAAGTCTGGTGGAGATGGAGAGTACCATTCTGCAGGGCATCAGCGCCTTCGCTTTAATCAAACACCCCAAAATTTCGATCGGTGACTTGGCTCAAAGCCATCCGGTTCAACTTAGCTGTTTGGGGTTTTAGTTGGTTTAGTGGTTGGGTTTCCGAATTCGACCCACTAGAAGTTGGTCCCTTTTAGCAGGGGATCAGCAAACGGATAGCGCAGTTTGGATAGAAATCGGATTGATTGGTTTCAACCCCTCAATATGATAGCCCGATGGGACCAAGGGTTTTGTTGGGCTCGGTTTCTCCCAAAAGGATCAGGAGATCCAAAATTGGGTGCGAAAGTCGAACTTTCTTCTAGGGATTCTTGATCGACAGAGGTCCCTTCAACCCCACCCCCCTGAATGGAAGAGTTTATGATGAGACCTTTGTTCAAATTATTTAGCATTTTTCAGCCACTAAGCATCACTTGTTACTTTTGGTTGGGAGGCAAAAGCTGAGGTGCGTAAGGTTTATGTTTGGAGTGTCTTACCCTAGTCTGATGTGAGTCATCCACCCGGATTGTGATTTTTTGCGGCTTCTTGAGTTTGAAGAGGGTTCTAGGCACCCCAGTAACTCTCTATGTGGGCGGGTAAATTACGCCTGTCTTCTTCTTTTGCAATGTGGGTTTGTGTTTTTGAGGGTACACTTTTCAGGCTGGTTCCAAGGGAAACCAACAGGATAACCATCCAAATCCCTTTGTCGCAACTTTGCCTTGGACCAAAGACAGGCAAGGCATACTTGGGTGTTCGTCTTACGAGGTTGATGGTATCCCAAGTCGCCATCCCTCATAAGAGGGAGTTGGAATCCATCCTGCAAGCGGTTTTAGAAGGCCTGTGCCTTCCTCACAGAGGTCTTTTTCAAGCGTTTGTGGTACCAAGTTCCCTCCCCAACTGGGAGAATTCGCAATTTGGAAGGTGTTTTCTTTTCAGAGGTGATGCAGGGTGACCCCGAAGCTTCTACTTGTCTTTGTAAAGAACACTCGGCACTCGATGCATGTGGTCATGGCTCCACAGTGCATATCTCAACGGTCAATATTAATATTCACCGTAATCTGCTGTAGTCAAGGGAAAGACCATGGCTCATACTGTGGATGAACGCACTCTGTTCGCACCACCTAAGAAACCCTGGCATGATGGTTCCCCTGTAAACAGCAACAAACAATGGTTCCCACGGTTTCAAAGTTGTGCGGGATTTCGTCCACCCACAGAACTGGGGGTGGGGCAACATCTGCACTAGGTGGTTCCCCATTTTTTTTAGGGGGTTACATCCATCCAGAATCGACGCCTTGCCAGGCGACTGATTTTGTGTATCGGTTAGGGGACACCAACTTGTCCCCGTGCGTTGGGGAAATCAACCACTTAGGGGGCTCATGACCTGGGGATAACCACCCCTCCCACATTGCCATGGCACCGTTTCTTAGTGTCCTTAGAGGAACTTGATCTGTGAATGGCCTCCCACAAACGCCTTCTGCTAGGTCCCTGCAAGGGGAACATTATCTTCCAGGTTTCATTTGCCATGTCTTCCGCCTAATGCATAGCGAGCTCACCTGGAGGTACAATGAAAAAGGTCCTTTGCTTGATCCACTTCTTAATCCAGCTTGCGGAATTATCGTAAAAGTTGCAGATGCTTTCGGTGGGCAGTTTTGTTTCTGTGGGCGATCCAAGCTGCCAGCCTTCGTTTGGCCTTCGCCCTCGCCTTCGAGGCGGCGTGCGCTTGACCCCGACGACCTCCGAGCGGACCAACACGCAGCCCTCGCAGAGAGCCGCCACCGCCTTGGAGCTGGAGGTGGGGGGGGGGGTTTTGGGGGGGGGTTTTGGGATGGGGGGTGGGGGGGGAGTCTGGAGGTGGGGTTGGGGTGGGGTCAGGGGTCAGGGGGGGAGGGGGGTCAGGGGGGTCAGGGGGGTCAGGGGGGTCAGGGGGGTCAGGGGGGTCAGGGGGGTCAGGGGGGTCAGGGGGGTCAGGGGGGTCAGGGGGGTCCGGGAAGGGGGTGACTGCCATCTATGAAGAAAAACCTCACCCGAGCTGCCATTTCAGTGGCACAAAGTTCGGAGGAAGTGAGCCATGTGTCAAGGGATCTAAATGGCAGGCTTTCAGTTTTGGTCTGCCTTGAAACCACGCAAGGGCCATCAAAAAGCACCCACATTGATTTAGGCCCATCGCAAGCACCCATTGCATTGCCCTGAACTGGTCGTAAGTTTCAACGAGATCCCTTTGCTTTGGCCCCCCGTGTCTGGTATGGGTGTGTGTCCAAGGGATTGGCACCTCCCGAAACGGTGGTTTACCTTTTCATTTCCCTTGCAACCAACCTTGAAAGGGTACCCTTCACAAAAAAAACAAAAGACACGCATATGCATTTCGTGTGTTCCCAGTTAGGGCGTGACCGATCCAATGCGCGCCTTGCAAGCCAATTCGTGGGAGACAAGGATCATGGTGACGATCGGTACTTGAAGGCTGCATCTTCAACCTGTAGCTTAGGGGAAGTGGGATGAATGCCAAACCGAAATCCAGTGGCCCCCGGAAATCGGGGGAGGGGGGGATTCCTTTTAGTCTCCCTTGAAACCATCCCCTTCAAACCATCCCCAAAAAGGTATCAACAAGACACCTGGATCAAGGGCTCCCTTGTCACAGTTCTGTTCTGTTTTGCCGGCATATCCCTCACATTTCGCCACGAATCGCGTGCTTTCCAAGATTGAGCAAAACATGGGGATGGCCATCCAAGTGTTTAACACAAGCTGAACAAATGCTGACATGGAATTTTGCATCATCACTAAGTTTAGTTTTACCGTTTTACCCCATTCCAACGATTTAGGCCCTTAATGTTGACCCCGGATTAATAAACCCGTCCCATTCTTCGGGGGGTGTTCCCTCCAGAAGTGGTCTGAATCCCCACTAAAAGGGGACACCTCCTATGAATCAACATCAACCAGGGGTTTAACTTCATCCGGGGTTAACATTAGAGGCTCCAAAAACGGAGTTCCCCGCGCCAGGCCCGTTGGATCCATTATGTTACCTGTCGTCCGAGTCTTCGCTGCCGTTTGCTCGCCAGGACTTGCGCCCAGGGCCTGTGGCGCCAGCTGCGCCTTCCGAGTCCCTCCTGGACCGTCCGACGCTTCTGGGGATAAAACGAGTCGACTTACCTCGGAAATTGCCTGGGAAGAGACGGTGCTCCGAGTTGGCCGTTTTTTTTTCCCCCCGTTTTATTTTTTATTTGATTTTTTGCTTTTTGGGTCCTGTGCTTTATTTGGGTTGCTTGAATAGTCTTGCTGGTTCGACAAGCAGGGCGAGAGTTGGAATGACCCGGAGAAACACCATCCTTCATGGTCTCTAAGGGAATCTCCAGGTTCATTCCCCACACCCCGGTCTGAAATGGAGATCTCTACATCATTTTGAGTATGTGAGGGTTGTCTGACATTTGTTTGGTTTGACGGCCCCGTTTTGGGGTAGCATCACAAGGGCACACAGTGGAGCACAACCAGGCCCTGGCCTCTTGGGCCAATCCACGAGTGGAAGCGTGGGTGGTTTCGGCTCCCCAAAATGCAAGCTTCAAAAGGGATCACCAAAGCGTCACCCGAATAGGTCACCACCCTCTTGCATCTTTGGCGATGGCAAATCCAGAATAGATAAACCCTCGTATGGTTTTGTTCGCTGAAGAACGGGATGAGGTTCAATCCTCTCTTTGAAGTTAGTCCAATGGAACATCAACCAGAAATAATTCCCGCTTGGATGCTTGATTCAACGGAAATCACCCCATACGTCACTCCAGCGTTGCTGAACTCCCCTCGTACGCGTTTTTTTTCTTCTTTGCAATGAGCATGTCAAATTCGCTCGACCCCCTCAACTTTCAAGTCCACCATCTAAAATAACCTCCTCTCCGTTGCTTTTTCATATACATGTCAATTCGGTTCAACTCCCCCCTGGATGGATTCTTGAATTGCCGAAGCACAAAAGAATCAGGGGGAATTTTCTGCAATTGGAGTGAAGGGAGCATCCACAGGCCACGTTTTTCATCGGCTGCGCTCGTTTCGGGAACCTACATTCGATAGGACCTGATGCCCGGCGGAATTCCCAACTTCGTCACGGCGCCTTGGCTTCCCGGGTCTCCGGTTGTTTTCGTCGACCCTTCAGAAGGGTTGACCGAGCATGTTTTGGGGGCTATGTTTAGGGGCTTGCTACTCGCAAGGCTTCCATTTGCTGAAATGAAGATGTTTCGTATTCTCCCTTGTTGGACACATATATATATATATACATACATATATATATATATATATATGCATTTTCCCACTGAAGCAACTGGAAGCGGAAGATCATACTAGGTCGGCGAAGTGGAAGACTCGGATCTCATCGTTTCAGTGTTCCGAGCTGGGCCCGGGCTGGGAATTCTGCCGAGAGCTCGAGCTCAATGCGCCATCGGAGCCCGTGGTCGTTTCGGGGACGGGATGTGTGGTACAAGACATGCAGATACTCATATGGCTGTGGGTAACAAAAATGGGTATCCAAAATGGAACCCTGGTAAATCGCAACAAAGACTAACACCGGGTAGCCCTAGCTCTTTAATTTTGAGCCACACCCATAGATACATCATGGGCCTTGTTTTGGTTGAAGGTTGGATGGATGCCCGTAGTCTCCCCAATTGGACGCTTTGGGAAAGGGACTCTGTGCACGCAGGGTGACTTGAAATCGGAGCGTTAGGTTGGTGGTGGGATTTGCAGCCATGTCTAGATTCGATTGGACAATGGAAGTGATGCGATTCAACTGAACGGTTTCACATGCCTTGCATTTGGTTGCAGAAATTGGGGCAGAAATTGGGGAACCATAGACTTTATTTCTCCATAGGATCCCGAAAGATTCAACCTGACAGCCAGCAAGGTAGCCCCGTAGGTAGGACCCACCAAGAGCCATGAGAAATTCCAACATCGCTGGCTACCTAGTGAGGGGCAACTGGGATCCATATGTAGGCAATTAAAGTTTTAAAGGAATTACCCCAAAACCGAGAGGAAACTAGCTGGTCACCTACTTCTTCGGGTCACTAAGAAAACCACCCCTAAAAGGAACCAAGAGGAATTCAAACATAGATCTGGTCACCCCCCTTGACCAAGCGGAAACGAATATCTGGTTACCTAGAAAATTCCCTTAGTTACCTAGGTTGGAGGTTTTTGCGGCTTTTGGCTGGTCTTTTTGGCCTGTCTAAGCTTGGTGGCTCGCCATCACCTTAGCTTTTTAGTATTTTAGTTGGTTTAGTCGTTGGATTTCCATTTAACCCCACTAAACGTTGGTCACTCTTCACAGGGGATCTGAGCGCAGCTCAGCAAACAGATCCACTCGGCACCGCATGCTTGTTGTTCGGAATTCATTTTGCAATTTTGCTTCTTGTGGTTTAGTGGTTGAAATCCCCACTCATCTGCTGCTAAAAATCAAGTTTTTGCTCCCCACATAAACTGCTAAAATTTAGGGTTTTGCTCGCCTTCCATACCCAGAGCGGGTTTCAGGTGCACGAGGTGGCCGAGATCTCCAACTCCCGGGCCTCGCCGCGGAACTTGTTCGGCTCCCCGCGGCCCTCCAACGAGCCGCCCGGCCTCGCCTTGGAGGGTCCGGTGGTTCGCCCGGTGGAGAGGTCGAAGTCGTTTACCTCTGAAATGGGGATGCAAAGCGATTTGTTGTGTGGGGAAGTTGGAGGTTGACCCTCTGAAAACCTGGGCGGGCAAAAGGGTGCCCTTAAAAAGGCCACTGGAGGTCTTGATTTCCATGTTCTGCAAAGCAAACTAAGGAAGGGCACTCTTTGCTTGCCAAGCTTAGAGGGCTCCAGATTTCTTGGTTGGTGAATTGACAACATGAAATCTTTCAATGGAACTAATGGCTTCCAACTGGTTCCTACTATGGATAGACGAACTCCAGCACCAGTTGATACGTGGTTTATCCCAGTTTTCACTAGGTTTCATCCATCCCAGTAGCTTCCATGGAATCGCCTGGGACATGATTTGTGATACCAGAGGGCCAACCTCCATGTTAGGCTCTAAAAGGCCACTCCCTGTGAGTCGTTGCACATCCCAAGGCCATGCGACTCCCGAGAGTGGGTTTATCACCTTCAGAGGGCATTTTTTTTTAACAAACATGGACGGCCGTGTTTATGCGCAGCATGATATGGTCCCGAGTCGATTGCAGAGTCAGTTTGTTCGCTGGATTTCTTTTGGGATGAGGTTTCAAGGGGAAGCAGAGAACTCAGAGAAAGTGTTTTCTTGGTACGTCTTGGTGCGGTTTGGCACGTTGCTGCAGTCTTATTCGTTTGTCTTCGTTGCTTTTTTGGGTGTGAGGGAACCACACCAGGGGTTCAGGCCTTCCGACACCCTTTCGTGGTTGAACTTGTGCAAACGCGGCATGCCTTTTGAGCTACTGAAATTAAGTTGGACACCTGCTTTCAGTTTGCTTATGGCCGGCTCACTTGAGCACAAGGACCGGTTCGGTGGTCCCTTACTTGCGTTCCCTTAATTCAGGTTTCGGACATACATAATTTGAGATGAGAGTACCCTTCTGATTCTGGCTGGCTGTTCTGTCATGCGCATAAGCTTTTCCATGGCATGCATCTCAGTGACACGCAAGCTTAAATGAGACACTTTACATCCAGTTTGTTCTTTGTCACTGCATACATATATATATATACATATACATATACACATTTTCGAGTACGCTTTCTGGTGTTGTTTAAAGCGAAGCCAGGAAAGCCACCATTTCTGGGATCCTCTTTGACACATCTCCATGTGCGGTGGATATTCTGAATTGGACCCCTTTCTGGTCTTGTTTGAAAGGGAAGCCAGGTCAATTGCCCATTTTAGGGGTTGCACTTTGCGAAACTGCCTCTTTGCTCGAGCCTCGGGTCTGGGGATGGATGTGCCCGATGTTTTGGAGTTGCCTTTAGGGTCTACCGACTCCGGAAAAGTTTGGCGGTTCGAGACCGGTGCAGAGATGCAGAACTGCAAGTCTAACCTCGTCTGAAGGGTGGCTTTTGGGGTGGAAAAACAGATTGACTATGAACTTTAACTCAACTACAATTCGCAGCCTTCGGGTACGTGTCACAACAGGGTTGGACGCCCCAGAACAAGTGGTGGACATTTTGCTGTTGGTTTCCAAATATACGCCAAGATGAAAATGGGAGCCTGAACAAAGACCCATATTACCTTTCTTGGGGGAACGATCCGAATAGTTTCAACCATCTCGCTTTTTCCCAGGATACCTCTGGACAAATTGTCACGATATTAATTTCGGGGGGGGGGGGGCTTGCGACGCGGATGAAATTGGTGACCTGGAATACTTTGCCCAGATCCTTGTAATTCGTCCTACTGGATAATTCTCTACAGGTTTTGCCCACTCGATGTGGCTGTGGGTCAAAAATGGGCACCCCAAATGGAACCCTAGTAAATGGAACCCTAGTAAATGAAAACGGGGACTAAAACCTGCGCTCCCCTGGCGAATTAATTTTGACCTACAGCCATGTGAGGATTGTGCTTCCAAACACCGCCAGCATGGGGACGCTCGGCATAGCGACCAAGCGGCTGCGGTGCAAAGCCATCTGCAGCAAAGGGGGGTCTTGGGCCGGATGTCTTGCCCGAGCGGGTGCAGACCGCGGGGCAGAACGGCCTATCCTTTGCTTCCATTTGCTTAAGAACTTGCTTTTTCCCCTGTTGGTTTTAAAGGCAATCAATCTCACTACTGGAAATACTTTTTTTCCAGGGGTCTTAACCAAATGGAAGATTAGGGTTGGACAGAAATGGGCCTGTCTTTTTCAGAAAACCCCCCACCCCCCTTGGTGGGTTTCCTATCGGTTTCCTAATTTTACCACACAAAAAAGCAAAAGGGGTACCCACAAAGGCGCAGACATCTCCCGGGCGCCCGGGATGCCATGCCTTTTGTTTCGACTATTGAATCTATTCTCAGTTGTTCAGTGGCACCCTTTTCCCCTCTTTTTTGTGGCTGCCCCACTAAAAATGGTCTTCCCCAAACTTGTTCCCTTTTCTTCAGGGTCACTGAACAACTGAGTATTGAACAAGAAAGAGATGGGAGCCTCAACACCCCTTTCGAGGAGTTGTCTCTCCCACGGCTTGATATAAGAGGAACCAGGCAGGGAGGGTTTGATACCATGACCCACGTCCAAGGTGGCACGGTGGATGTCATAAACATTGGCAATTCAACCATGCTCCACAAAAAAAACACATGGTAAATCACGGGTCTATTTTGCCCCTTGTTCCGTTGGACGATTCGGGCATCCACTGGTCAGGGTGTTGACGGTACCGGCCGACCTGGCGTATTTCGGCGGGGTGGGTCAACAAAATGAGCAAGATTCCTGGTAGAATTTCCGATGGCCCGGCCATGATCCAAGATTCCTTGTAAAATGGAACAGGCTGTTCTTGATCCTCAGCCAAAAGAGCTGTCGGTAGCAATGGGTCCTCTGCCAGAAATAGAGTCTGGACTTCTTCTAGAAGGCCGAAGGAGCCGTGGATTCCTTTCACTGAGACAAATCGAAACAGGAAATGAACCAAGATGCACATGGGATTGGGGGGGATTCTGCAAGTTGTGTTCTGATGTTTCTGATTTGGGTCAAAGACCATTTCAGGTGGGATAATAAGGGTTGGGTTCACCGCGGTGTTCATCTCCCCTGCTGTCTCTGTGAGTCTGCGTGTCTCTTTCTCTCTCACTCTTCGTTTGTGCCCACTTTTTTTGTGTAGGTGTGTTGGTTGTGTGCTTTTTACCTCTCTCTCTCTCTCTGTGCGTGCTCGTGTGAGTGTGTTTGTTGTGTGCTTTGTGAGGGTACCCTTCTCACCTTGGCTCTTCTCACTTGTTTTTAAAGGGAAGCCGAAAGAGCAACCCGCCAGTGTATTTTGGAGTCATGGGCAACTTACACAACTATTGGTGTTCTACTCTTGGCTTGGGAGAACAAAGCCCCCACACAAAGAATCGGGCGGCCACCCAGTTTCTCATGTGAGCAGCTTTCAAAACCCACATTGTTGTCCATCTCAGCAGGTGTTTGCACCTGGTTTCACAAATTTTGGTAAGCCCTAAACCTTTGCAACCCTCTTAGTAGAAGGGTTTCTATTAAAAGCAGACCAACGTGCACCCTACCTAAGCCTTTACAACCATCCTCTAGGTCCCCCAGTTTTTGCCCTTTTGCCCTTTTTTGGGGGAGGGTTCCCCTACTACAATAGACGACAGAAAAAAGGGTACCCCTATTCTAACCTCTCTACTGGAGGACCTGGTCTTAGTAGAAGCGTTAAAGTCAGCTCGGGCTTGCACGCTGAGGAACCTCATGAAGGACTCGCAGTCCGCGATCCTGGACTCGCTGCTTGGTTCGGCCTGGGGTGTTTGAACTGGGCTCCGTAAAAGATCTCCATGTTGCAACCAGACACATGCTGGTTTTTTGAACTCCAAAATAGAGTGGGCAACCACCACTTACAAGTTGCAATGCTCAGGTGTATAAATGTAAGGATGCCAGTTGAAAAGGCGTGCTTCCCTTTTGACCTCCACTTTTAAGGGTTTCTCCTAGGTTACTCCTAGAATCATGACTCATTTTGGTTTTTCAAGCACCCCAAAACCCTATCCTCACTATTTAGGCCTTCATCCCATTTGCTTAAGAATCATTTGTTATTTTCCCTCGTTGGCTTTAAAGGGAGTCAGTTTCACTACTGGACATATGTCTATTTCTTGCAGTGGGCTTAAGCAACTGGATGTTATTTTCGCATTTTCTTGGGCACATTTTGTTTCTCCTGGAGCCGTGTGGCGCAAGCCTTTGAAGGGAAATGAATGGGTCCTTTGGTTGAACATAGCTGTGTTGTTTTGTTTTGGGGTACCCCGTATTGGTTGGTTTTAAAGGGAACCAACATGAAGACAGTCATTTTTGAGGGTCCCCAAAACAAAGCCATGGGATGTCGTTAATCCGGGTGGTTACCTTTTGGCCTTCCCTTGATAGCAAACCCGAAAGGGAAGCCTCAAAGCAGGACGCGCCCCTTTTTAGCTTTTTAGTGTTGAGTGGGGATTTCCATTCAACCCACTCAGAGTTAAACTTTAGGCAGGGGATCAAAAAATGGACAGCCCAGGATTTATTTTTTTTTGGCCGGAAGCTGAAGGTCACACATGTTTTTCGGGTAGAGTTGGGCCCGGGTTTTTGGTTGGATCCCAGGGAGAGGCCTGGGATTGAATCCAACCTCGCGATTTTTTTTTCGGCGGGTGTTTCGTTTTGCGCGCGAGGTTCGGTCAAAGGGAACCCGAGGACTTGCAGGCCTCAGCCCGTTTAAGCCTCACTTCACTTCCGGCGTTCTGTTTCGCACTTGAAAACTTTTAGGGTTTGGACCATTTTCCTGGTAAAGAGGTTTGAGTCCACGAAGTCAGTCACCTTTTTGGGGCCACTTTTAGTGGATTTTCTTCTTGGGGTGATGTTTAAGCGCGGAAATATGGAGAGCTCTGACTTTCTCAATCTCTTGGAGCAATCGGCGCGTCAAGTTTCCGCTCCGGAACCGCCTATTCTGAGCACCCCAACTGTTTGAGCTTAGAGCCACGGTCAGTATTTTTCTCCTCGGCCTACACGGGAATTTGCCCACTCTATTCTTCAATGGTATCTTGTGTATCTTGATGATACCCACTGTCAATTTATTTGCACAAGATGACAACAAACTATTAAACGTCGATTGTCGCCTTTACGGCCCATTGAGGCCCGACTCAAGACCAAACAAGGCCGACTCACGCCAAAATGGTCGAGGGTGTCACGTGCGGTTTGAAGCTCTCTCTGAGGTTCTGTGATTGGACGAAGGACTCGCCGGGTCGCGCGAAGGGATTTGCTTCGAGGGGGCGAAAAATGTGTGAAGACATCCCTTGCCCCTACCTCCAAATTATATAGATTCCAAAACCTCAATATATAGCCTCGAGGGGTACACCACGCCTTCTTCGTGGTTCCCTTTTTTCCCCAAACAAACCCAAGAGGGAGTTCGACCCAAAAACGGATCCACGCAATGTGTTTCAATCTACCCACCCATCCACCGATGAACATGGAAGTGCACAAATCCCCTTTTCAAGAGGAATTCAGTCTTTCTACAAAGGTCGGTGCACTTCCATGTGAGCCGGTGGGAGGGTATTTTCTTTTTGGTTCCCTTGAAGGTGATCCTTTTCCCTCTTCATTCGGAACTCTTCATTCGGAAGGACTTCTCACATGGGGCACGACGCTTTGTTCAGGAAGTCTCCTATCTCCTAACACTTAAATGCTTCTACCTTTCGGTTGCTCCGAGCTCTGAAAGGTGTCGATCAAAATTTGTCCCTTGGCTCAGGGGCCAGTTTTTGCATCGAAGCCATTACGCGCTTTTTTGCTCTCCTACAGCTAAGTTCGGGTTTTAAGTCCCCCGCAGCTCCATTCTGATTCTTCGGGTCCTGCTAGTTAAGCTTCCAGTACAAATGGCTGCAGCCTTTCATGGTTGCAAGTTTGCGTTTCTTGGGGCCAGTGTCCTTCATAGAAGCCAGGCGCCAGGAAGTTCTACAAATTCCCACCAACCGTAGGGCATCGGCGTTGAAAGCGACCCCGGCTTGGAACCTCTTCAACCACCTGGCGCGGCTGAAACGCCACGGTATGCGCGCGCAACAGAACACACGACCAGAATTCCCCATGCTCCCAAGATTTCTTCTTGCCTCAGCAAAACGCCCATATTTCATGGACGGTCTTCTCATAGTTTTTGAAGCCGATTGTTGACCCAAGCGCAATCAAATCCCTGCAAAACGCAGGCCGCGGCACGTGTCCTGGCAAACCACATCGATGAAGAATGCTTGTGCTGAAAGCGGCTGCGTGCGTTACCCAAAGCTTTGACTCAATGCGGCTGCGTGGCGCAAGCGCGTGGCAGGGGCAGTGTGGTGGGTGTGGCGAGTGCTTATCATTTGGCCAGCCCGCGAAAGTATGAACACACAAAATATCGTTCACAGCGCCGTTCGCAAAAGCCTGATTGCAGGAAATTCTAGAAACAAAAAGCGAAAGACCAGAGTTTTCTGGTTTGCTGGTTGCTATGACCCTCTCGGAAGGTCGTGCCGTTTGCGGCCCCAAGAAAAGGACGCGGATCTGGACGTGGGCAGTCGCTTTATGCTGGCGATCCCGCCGGGCATGTCAGTGACGCGCGGCCGATTTGAGTTTCGCCAAGCCCGTTTTTTGAGGGTGCGACAAGGGACCCTTTAAAGTCAACTACCCAAAAAGAGTGCCTGGTATGGGTTATGGGTTATCAAAAGGAGTTTTTATGAGGGTACCATTTTGGTTTAAAGGGATATCAACAAGAAAACCACCATTTGGGTCTCAGTTCCCTATTATCAGATTCCGGGTCGTGCTTGGAAAGCTCGAACTGAAGAATTCCCTGTAGCTTCGTTTATTCTCAAACCCCGAATGAAATTCCCTACTCAGAGCCAGCGAGAACGGTGCGGTCACAAAAAGTCCCGCGATCCCGGAACATTCGCAAACCATAGAGAGGGGTAAAACAAGCTTACCCAATACTTCGGGATGTGTTCCGCCAGAATCATAATGTTGACCCTGGATCTAAGTAGAACCCTTCTTTTTTTGTAGTGAGTGGGGTGTTCCCCGCCAAAAGTGAAGCGGTCTGATTCGCCACTGAATTCGGGGACACCCCGCCATTAACAAACTGGGGTCGGGGGTGAACATTACAAGTAGTTCCCACGTGTTTTGAGACACACACACACACACGATTGCGTTGAGGTTCTTTTGCATGATGGATGTCTCAAGCCAACACAATCAGAAGCCCGGCCATATTGCATTTGGGGTGTTTCTGAGGCTATTGGTTAGTGGACACCAACGGGTCCAGGGAGATTCCAGGTTCCGACATGTGAGGTGTTGGGGCTTTAGAATATGGTGCAGCTGTTGTGGATCCCTGCAACATGGGCAACGAGTGCTGAAAGAGCAGAACAGGTGAATCCACCAAACAATGGCATTCAAGCCTTCGCTTAATATCCACAGACCCAGAGGGTTGATATTTGGTCAAAAGACCGGGCTTCGGATGGTAACGAAGCCTTTCGGGAATTTAGACACCCATTTTTTGATTTTGGGAGCATCAGGACCATGGCAACCCCATCAAATGAGACGGAGTTTTGAGCATCACACATCTGGCGGGGTTGTCTAAAGTTTCCTGAACAACATCCTGCACTAGTTAGGTGGTTTATCCCATTAATTATTTATAGGATTTCATCTATCCCAAGTGCGAAATGGATTTCGTACACCGCCTGGTGTGCGCATCAATTGACGTTGAACTAGTGTTGGAAGGACTTGAGCCTAGCTCCCCTAGCTGGAGGGTAGTGCGTTGCCATTGCGCCACAGCTGCCATCAAAAGCCAACTTGGGCAAACGAAGGGAAATCTGCATTCAGCGGGTGATTCCATTTCGCAGTTCGGCCAAGATAGCAAGTTGTCAATGGTACGATCCACTAGGTCCCCCGTGCAGGTGACGTCGTACCAACTTGGCAACGAACAAAGGGGTAGCCTGAAACAACTCATGTCTCCCCCACGCAAAAAATCCTTGAAGGGCCTGGAGGGTGATTCTCCATGTCTCATTCCCCGATCGAAACCAGCGACTAGCTTCCTCAAGGGACCCTTTGTCAAGGCTTCCATGGGGAGCGGAAACTTGTGTCTTTTCTGAGGGCCCCCCCGCTGTTTTGTGGTTTTACAGGGAAACCAACGGGTTTGCCCCCGTTATGCCATTTTTTGGGTCCTGGTTTTCCCCCAAAAAAACATGGACACGCTTTTCCCCAAGAAAACAAGAAGCAAAACAAAACAAGAAAAAAACACATGAACGGGTCAATAACTAGAAATCGACACCCTCCCCCCCTTCAAACAAAAACATGTTCCCCCCCAGAAAAAAAGAAAGCAAACTCGACCCCCCCCCAAAAAAAAAGTAAAAAGCAACAAGCATGGGCGCACCGAGGTGCCTGGGAGTTGTGTCGTTGCTGGAGGGCGCCGGTCTTTGCGCGCTCTATGCCTTCGGCGCCTCGGAACGAAGGCTCAGCGGCCGCTTTCCGCTTTTTGCTTTCGGATTTTCAGGGCTGGTGAAATGAGGATCCCAAATTGGCTCAAAAGTTCCGCTCGAAATGGGGACGCCCGATTTCTGGTCCCAGCTCTCTTTGCCAACCTGCACTTCAGGTTGGCCATTTCCCAGCTGATTTCTGGTTCCAAGTTTGAACAACACCAGTGGACATGTTCCGTGTTGGAGGGTTTTAAGTGGGAAAACCGAAACCGAAATCCAGGTTGTCAGTTCCCTAAAAAGAAGAGACACCTGTACATGGGTTGTTGTTTTTTGGAGTTGTTTAGGGAACCGACTCCAAAGTTCCCCAAATTCAGGTAACCCTTAGTTGACGTTTTGGATTGGTGGGATTTAAAAGGTTTTTGGTTGAGGGCAAATGGGAAACTCCCAACCCTGGTGACCACCCAAATGGAGAGGGAAGCCCTCCCAAATGGGGTTGATCAAAAGGTCCTTGACATTGGATGACCAGTGGTTGGAAACCACTAAACAGATTTGATACTTAATGGCCTGCGGCCCCCCCCCCGCACACATTAGAATTTCGGCCCGGGGCGAGAGAAGCACAGGCGCGTTCGCGGACACGAAGACAGACGCAGATGCGTCGACAGACGCAGACAGACGCAGATACGTAGACAGACACAGACAGACACAAAGCGAGACAGACAGACACAAAGAGACACAGACAGACACGCAGGGCGCGGACACGAAGACAGACGCAGATGCGTAGACAGACGCAGACAGACGCAGATACGTAGACAGACACAGACAGACACAAAGCGAGACAGACAGACACAAAGAGACACAGACAGACTGATGCGTAGACAGACGCAGACAGACGCAGATACGTAGACAGACACAGACAGACACAAAGCGAGACAGACAGACACAAAGAGACACAGACAGACACGCAGGGCGCGGACACGAAGACAGACGCAGATGCGTAGACAGACGCAGACAGACGCAGATACGTAGACAGACACAGCCAGACGCAAAGCGAGACAGACAGACACAAAGAGACACAGACAGACACGCAGGGCGCGGACACGAAGACAGACGCAGATGCGTAGACAGACGCAGACAGACGCAGATACGTAGACAGACACGGACAGACACAAAGCGAGACAGACAGACACAAAGAGACACAGACAGACACGCAGGGCGCGGACACGAAGACAGACGCAGATGCGTAGACAGACACAGACAGACGCAGATACGTAGACGGACACAGACAGACGCAAACAGACACAGACAGAAACGCAGGGGGGGATACTAGATTCCAGGACGTATTGATGCAGGTCTATATCAGTGCTCTGGTGAGGGAAATGGATCAGACAGGGCGAATGATCCGAGTGCGAATCAAGATGTGGCACGGGGTTGTCTTCGAGGGTGAGGTCCCGGACAGTGAATCGCTGTTTTTCACCCAGGAATCGTTCGATCTTGTTCCGAACAGGCAAGCAGGACTATGCATCTCAGAACAATTGCGTGGGGCAAGACAGTCACACGAGAAACCAGGCTGAATGACTTGTGTGGCCAACGAGATCACCATACATGTGGTGGCCCCACTTCGTGGAGGAGGGAAACCAGAAGGGGACAAACCCTCGGATGCGTCACGGCCTTGACGAACTTGCTTCAGCATCAGGGTGCAGAAGAAGCTGAGGCATACAGATGGGCGCAGTCGGTAGTGGCCAAAGTGGGGGCCCCACGGGTTATGCGCATTGCTGCTGAAACGAATGACCTGAAAAGACACAAAGGTATTTTGGGACTCGCCTCGGCCGCAGGAGCCAAATTGCCAAATCTGAGCGGGCGCAGAAGCACGGGGCGATCTCGCAATTCCAGGCCAAGAATTTCACTCTGTGAGGTGGGCGTGCGAAAGACGATAAATGACAGCCTGCCACCATCCTGACGGATATTGCTCACTCGGATGCAGCGGTATTCCTGTTGGACATGGAGGCGGCGACACCATACCTGTCAAGTGACGTCAAGTGGATCCTCTGGCGCTGTTGGTCATGGGACATGATTGTCAATGCCAACGAGAGGATTGCCGCAAGGTTTCAGTGCCAGCTTTTGATTCGCAGCAGCAACCGGCAATTTTGGCCGTATTTGTACATCAGATGAGCACAACAAGATCACCTTCGCTCCGGCTACATCCAAACAGGTGACAGTCGAACAGACCATCGCGGCGGCCTTCGCTATCTACCGAGATGAACTGGACGAGGGTCAGCGGGACCGAATGAAGCAAGCGCCGGTCCCGAAAAACATGGACACGCAATATGGGGAAGGGGGGGGGGTGGGAGGGCAGGGCGGGGGGAGGGAGGGGGGGGCAGAGATCCAGAAATCCAGAGATCCAGAAATCCAGAAATCCAGCCGACGTATTTTCCCGCCCCAAGGGACACACACACATATATATATATATTCACACTAAGCTTATAGAAAACATATCAACAAAAGCAACACAGAATACACCGCCCCCATGCCGAAAGCATGGTCCATTCTGGACCAGGCGTGGGGTCGGCGGATTTCCCATATGGGAAGAGTTACTCATGGTCACAACTGCGGGCCCTAAATGGAATATTGATCAAGCCCTTATTGGGAAGACCCTCCACTTGACTGTGTCTTTTTTTCTCCGGGGATCCACCCACAAAATGGATCTGGGGGCTCTAAATGGAATCGTGATCAACCCCCATACACCATGGTACAAACGTCCTTCTCTTTCGGGGATCCCACAAGTTACTGGCCAGGAATATTGACCAACCCCCCATACACCTGACAAATGGAGCTGAGGCATCGTGAAGAGCAATAGCTACAGCATCACCTCGGTGACCTGTGTGCTCTATGGGCTTCTGGCCGCCTGTTGCCACTTGGCTCGCGAGAAAGGGCCTGCGGAGGGGGAGGCGGAGGAATGCGGGGGGATGTTTGTGGCTAAGGGAAGGCATGCGGCAAGCCAGGTGTAAGGTACAAATGGTTACATACCAAATTCAAATGCCATATGGGCCATACTGTATATACATGTATACATATGTATGGTTTGTTTTTATGTATATCTATGATCTTTCAGAGTTTGAATCGCGAAGTTGTTGCTGAGATGTTTGATGTCCATTTTGGGGTCCCCAAGAGATTCGGTCACCTCCTGATTTGTCCATCCGTTTGGGGGGGACTAGGGGACGGGGACGCAAGTTTTCCATGTGACCTTGATCCGGCTTGAAACATCACGACGCCAGTTTGGAGGATGTGATGTTGACCCTGCATCCTCTATCGGCGGCTGTCCCCCTTTTGGTGGGGATTCAGACCACTTTTGGAGGGGAACACCCCCCAGTTAGAACTGCGGTTTGTTAATCCGGCGTCAACATCACACACTGCTTGCACCATGTTTCCCCGAAGAAGAGGTGGGAAAACACTCGTTCCATGAGCCCGAGCGGTTTGGGGCGTCTTTGTTCGTTGCCAAGTTCGGTTGGCTTGGGTAAAGAACTGGCCACAGGTCGATCCAACAGAGAAATTGACCTTACCTTTCGATGTCTTTGTGGGTTAGGGTGTCCAAAGGTGCTTTTCGCGTTTCGTCCCCGGTCCTCTGGCATGAATTTCCTTGGAACCCCCCCGAATGAACGGAAGGAGGCCAAGGCGCCCCAATCCGCCCGAAAAGGAGACGTCGTTCTTCACGTTAAAAGGCCGGGCTATGTTTGGGGGCTTGCTACTCGCAGGCTTCCATTTGCTGAAATGAAGAGGAATTTTGTATTTCCCCTTGTTGGTGTCAAAGGGAATCTACTTCACTACTAGATTGTTGTTCTCTCATTTTTCCAGGCGGCCAAGAAAGAATGGAAGCAGGAGAGTAATTGAAGTCCTTAGACTACTGCTTGGCTTTTTTAGGGCAGGAGGGGGCCCGCAGAAGAACTTTACACAGCGTGGGATCTTTCGGCATGGCATATGGAAAAACAAAACCTTCCTTCGCAACCTTTCAAGGGCTAATAAGCTCTGAACGGGCAGTTGGCGTCTGTCTTTTTGAAGGCTCGGTACCCTTTTTGGGATGGCAAAACAAAGTCATGGACCCAATTTTGCGGGGACAAACCCATTCCAACGGGAATGTTTGGAGCCACCCGGATTTCTGAGACAAGGCTTGGGCAAGCCAGTCACCAGCTGCAAAAACAAACGTTTTTTGCACGCCCATGCTCTCAGGGTTGTGAAGACTTCCACTCAAAAAACGCGTCAGGTATGCAGCTGCTGCGGAAGGCTTTGCGGTCCAAAGATCTGAGCCTCGGAATCGGCGAAGACTCCAATGGGATCCCATTTTGGGGTGCACCACCCATTTTAGAACCTATTTTAGTGGGGATTGGAATGTTCACTGGGGGTACGGGGTTTTGACCCACGGCCATATGCCCATGAGTCTTAATTAAGACCCACCTCCAAGGTGCTTGGCGGACATAAATCACCGAAATGGTGTCCAGGGCCCCTTGTGAAAATTCACACCCACATTTCCGAGAGGGCCAGCTTCCGTGTTGTAGGGTTCTCTCTGTATGTCCTCAAACACCAAAAGGACAGTCTCAGTCACTAAAGATGGCCCCAGGTGAGGATGTGAGAACCATGTTAGCACCCCCAGGTTTAGGGCAATTTTCGGGAATTTTAAATAAGGAACCCTGAGAAAGACCAGAAAAATAGGCAATAGCTTGGCGTCCCCGTTTTGCTGGTAATCCTAAGCAACCCTGAAACCTGACTAAAAGAATCCATTGGGCTTACCTGTTGAATTAGGAAATGTGTGTCAGTCAGATATATTGTTGTCAGTCAAGGGCCAAGAAAGATCGCAAGTCTTGGTGTCCCTTTCCGGGAAAATTTAGCCGAATCGGGCTTACTCGAAGCGGCGAAAGACGATCGAATTGGGGGTGAGATTGGACTAAACCAGAATAATGCGAAAGCCATGCACGGTTACCAGCATTCATTTGTTTCGAGTTTCCCGCAATATGTATATACCTGTGCACATGTTCATTTGTCTTGCTTTGTATTGTCTTGTCCTGTCTCTTCTTGCCCTTTTGTTTCTTTGTTTGTCTGTCTGTCTGTCTGTCTGTCTGTCTGTCTGTCTGTCTGTCTGTCTGTCAATCTGCCTGCCTGCCTGCCTGCCTGCCTGCCTGCCTGTCTGTCTGTCTGTCTGTCTGTCTGTCTGTCTGTCTGTCTGTCTGTCTGTCTGTCTGTCTGTCTGTCTGTCTTCTTGTCTTGCTTGTCTTGCTTGTCTTGCCGTGCCGTGCCGTGCCTTGCCTTGCCTTGCCTTGCCTTGCCTTGCCTTGCCTTGCCTGCTTGCTTGCTTGCTTGCTTGCGTGCTTGTCTGTCTGCGTGTCTGTCTGCCTGCCTGCCTGCTTTTTTTTTTGGGGGGGGGGGGGTTGTTTGCCTGTTTGTTTTCTCGAGGCGGGGCTAGGCGGGGCTGGTTGCGTGGAGTAAAGATCCTTTGGGTCTTTGGTTCTTTGGTTGTTGATGACCCCATATGAATCAACCCCAGTTTACGAAAAGGGCGGGTGTTCCCCTCCAAAAGTCCAAACGTGATGATCTGGGGTTGATTAGGGATCAACATTGACAAACCTTCTCATCATGGACTTGTTTTTTTAGTTTATGGCCGGGGCCAGGTAGCCGCTGTTAAAGAGAAAGGTGTTTGGTTCCGACCTGCTTTCAACAGGATTATAGTAAGGCCCATTTAAAGCTTTGTGAGTATCTTAGAACTTAAAACCACTGGGTTTTGCCCGCAGCTCGTGTTTGTCCCTCTTGTTTTTTTTTTTGGGGGGGGGGATTCCCGTTCACGAGAAGTAGAAGTAGAGATCCCCACCATGATGCTAGCCAAAGGGTGCCCATTTTTGTTCACCCTCACATTGGTTGCGGGTTGCTTTGCTTTGGGGGGCCATGTTACTATGGTTTCCCTATCGTGCATCACGGTTCAGTCGCCTTCATGGTGTCAGGGGGGACAGGCGTGGGCACAAACCACTCATAGTCAGCTTCCCTCGAATTGGTGGTTTGGAGGTGTCCAGGGTGGAATCCCGTTCAAATCCCGCCAAACCACCAAGGGTTACTTAACATGGTATTGTTCTCGTCATGCTCGTCGTTTTTTTCTTTGAGGGCTGGGGGGCCATGTCGTCGTTTCCTTGCATGGGCATGTTTTTTTCATTAGGGACCCTCTGGTGGGCATCATTGAGGTGTTATGTCCCCCAACCCCTCTCGAGGGGGTTCCTTATGCATATTCACTGCCAAATATTGCCAGACATGTGACCTGCAAGAATAGGTTGTGACAAGTCCCGGACATTTGCGGTCTGCATGTTCGAGGTTGCCTAAGAGCAGCTCTGTATAAGCTTGTGAACTAGGTGAGCCGAATCTAACCTGGAAGCACGCAGTCATGTTAGTGTACCCCGGAGTTGTTTGTTGTGTTCGCCGAGGGATCTTCTTTGGTTCCGGGCGTGATGGTGGAGCTGACTTCACTGATTTGCGGCTTTTGGTTTCCCTTTGGGTTTCACAAAACGCCAACCAAGGTTCCAAGTAGGTATCAAGTGGGTGCGGGTCAAAGATAGGCACCCAAAATGGAACCCTGGTAAACGGAATGAAGGACGAAAAACTGGCGGTCCAATTCCTGGCTTAATTTTGACCCACGCCCAAATGACCCACTCCGAACTGGGCAACTGTTGGTTGATCTGTTTCACGATTTGTTTCGGTTTTGGTTTTCGTGGTTTCCAAGCCCGTCAAACCTCCTCAGGTACCAAAGCAGCAAAGCGACCTTGTCCGAACTGGTCTCAAGGCATGTTTTGAGCTTCCAAGTGGAACGCCAGGAAATTTTCCGCAGAAGCTGGCATTGGACTCCCCCTCTGGGGACCGGAAAACCCGACCACCCGAGGAACCTGGCCATCGACCGGCTGCACCTCTTCGTGGTGGACTTCCAGCTCCACTGGAGCCAGGTCTCCGGCCAAGAGTGGCGCGCCTCGGAGGAAGACCGAGTCGAGCGAGATTTGTGGTGCTGGCACGCGGACGGAACCCTGCCCCCCCCCCCCCCCCCCCCCGATTTTTGTTTGTTCCCCCCCTTAGGCTCACAAAAGACGAACAGGGTGCCCTCAAGAAAAGACACACTCAAAGGACGATGTGTTTGTTTTCGGGGGTTGGGCCACCCCTCGAAAGTGGCTTGGTGGACATACATCCCCAAATGATGTGCACCAACGAGCCCCACATCAAACGATGGATATGTCCTTCCATTTGCGAAAGAAAAGTGCTTAACTTCCCGTGTTGTTTTCTTCAAGGCAATCTATCTCAACTGGAAGTATCGTTTCCGGGGACTTCAGCAAATGGAGGGATAGCATCAGTCAGTAATGGTTACTTCCCCCGCTCCGAATCGAACAACACCTTGCTACACGGGCACGGACGGTTTAAGGGGTTAGATTCCTTCTTTTGTGGTCGGTGCTGCAAAATCAAGGTCCTTTTGGTGTCCAAATTAGTGGGTGGTCACCAACTTTCTCATGTCCTCCGGACACAAGTGAGTTCATATGGGTTTGTCTATGTAGGGGGAACCCTATAATTGGTGGCTTGTCTCTGGTATCAATGGTATCCTCACAATACTCAAGGGGGTTTCCCCATTCTTGTCAACCATCCTTCTCTTCAAACACCGGCAGTACCTTGAGCCTCAAGACCGAGCCGCGTTTGTCGCCGAAAAACACTTGGGCTGTCCTTTTTGCCGGGTGCCCTCTTTTTTTTGGCATGCGGAAAGCCCAAAAGGAGCACCCACCTTGTTGGGGGTCCCCTCACAAAGCGGCTGCCTTGATAGCCTGGTTTTTTAGAGGGCCAAGTTTCGAGTGGCGAGCGGAGGTAAGTACCTGGTCGCTTGGTCGCTGCTGGTACTTTGCCAAGCAGGAACCCAGGGCTATCGGATCTGGTCCTCGCTGCAGCAAGGCCCAATCGTGGGCGGCGAGGGAGTCTCAGGGATCGGACCAGGCTTTTCGACCTCTAGTGCTTGCGTCATGCGTTTTCGTGCTTATGTACTTGAGCCGCAACAACAGGAATCACTGCACGTCTCAACTCATTTTCTTGCAGGACAAGGAAGCAGAGGTAAACTCGCCATGTTGGATTGACACTTGACCCTCCCCATTTTGGAATGTGTCTACAGTAGTTGTTGACCCAGGATTCATCAACCCGTCCCATTATTAGGAGGGTGTTCCCTCCAAGAGTGGTCTGAATCCCCACTAAAAGGGGACCCCCCCCAATAAAAATCAACCAGGGGTTCTGCTTAATCCGGGGTTAACATTAGAGGCTCCAAAAACGGAGTTCCCCGCGCCAGGCCCGTTGGATCCTGCAGAGAAAGAGCACCGCATCTACGCCCACGTTCTGACGCGCCTCAGAAAGATTGGGACCGACCGGGGCCTTCGAGCGGCGAGCCGAGTCTTTGACTAGGCCCCCCGTCTCACCCTTTTTTTGGTTGGGAGGGTTCCCCTACTAAAATAGACTACAGAAAAATGGGTACCCTTAATCTAACCTCTCTACTGGGGGACCTAGTTGCAGGCTTGTTCCGGCAAGGTTCGCCTTTCCCGCTGTTTGCGGACTATGAAAGCAGCCCCGCTGGTGTAGAAACCCCTTCTTGTCTTCCCAAGGCCGCTCATTTCAGTGGAAAAGGCACAGGTGCGAAGCGTTGATTCCGCATTCAGAACCTCTCTAAACCAACCGCTGCTCTCTTTGAAGGACCACACATTTGCGCCGGGGAACTGGGGCCGATCTGTTTAGACGGATCCCTGAAGAGAGGAGGGAGGTGGACGGCCAGAGTTGGAGCCACTTCAGATTCCCTCTCCATAGGGGTTTGTACCTCCACTGGAAGGTTTTGGACCTCAACTGTTGCCTTCAAGGAGTTCTGGTTCTTGAGGGCCGAAGATGCAGACGCCTGCCTTTCACCCAAATACAAGGAACCGCCTCACCTGCACGTGGCTGATCAGTCCCTGGACCACGTACCCCCCCCCCCCCAAATGGTATGGTCCCCCCACTGGCAATGCTGGGGATGCTGTCCAGTAGCGTGTGAGCCTCCCCCTTTCATCCCGTGAACCAACACCCCCGCACCTCTCGCAACATCCTACCCTAAACCAAACCACCCTGCAACCCCTCCTTAACCCCAAACCTAAGCTTAAATCAACCCACACCCCAAACCCACCCGAAACCCACCGCAAACCAACCCTGAACCAACCCTAAAGCAACCCACCAAGCCTAAACCAACTCCGAACCACACCCCAACCACCCAACCACCCAACCACCCAACCACCCAACCACCCAACCACCCAACCACCCAACCACCCAACCACCCAACCACCCAACCACCCAACCACCCAACCACCCAACCACCCCACCACCCCACCACCCCACCACCCCACCACCCCACCACCCCACCACCCCACCACCCCACCACCCCACCACCCCGCCCCACCCCCACGACCCCACCCTCACGGGCAGGGGGGGTTGGGGGGGGGGAGGGGGGGGGGGGGGTTCATGGCCTGGAACATATATCCATGTATGTCCCTGTGCCCCTTTGGCGTGGTTTCCCAGAATTAGTGTGCTTACACAAGCCTTTGTGTTAAAGGGTTTGCTTACATGAAATGGCCCCCCAAGACCCTTAATAAGCCGATTTCCTGTAGAATGTCCTTCAACCAAACCCTTTGATTGTGCTGCACTCGCATGTCTGAACGCCCCCCCGAGCTCTCATTTGGCTATGGCTCAAACCCCCGTACCCCCAGTGAACATCCGATTCAATCCTCCATGGGTTCCAAAATGGGTGGTGCACCGAAAACGACCCACGGATCCCAAACGGTGTTGACCCACGGCCACGTCTCCATGGCTGAGGCTGGTGTGCCTGGTGAGCTTCGCAGTCTCCAGCGGCATCTTTGGTGCATTTTGCCAAGGGATCTTAGAACTGAACAACTCTTTGCCAACTATTGGGTTTTCTATTAAGCCACTAAAAGTTAGTCACTTTTAGCAGGGCTTCGCAGAAAGCAAGCGAGGCATTGTGATGCTCACCGCCTACGTGCAGTCCCACCTCCTCCTGGGTCTGGACAAAACCCTGGACCGATCGATCGCCGATTCGACCGATTCGACCGAGTTGACCCATGCGTCGACTCGGGAAAACAAAAAACGTCCGCGCCCCAGGGGCTTGCGTGGGGTTCTGGAGCATGGGCGTGTCCTTTTTGGATGGAAGGTTTGTTTGGTTCATGCTCAAAGGGAAGGAAAAGGGAAACTGGGAAACCGGCCATTTTCGATTCCACACCCATTGGAACATAACTGTGTCTCACCCCCCTCTGAGTCCTTTCATGGGAATGACCCATGGTATCAGCGTGCCTTCGGGGTAGCTTCCTACCCCAAAACATCCGAATCCTCAAAAAGCCTGTTGGCTGGTTGAAAGGACCCATGGTTGAGAAGAACGGAGGATGAAGCCGGATGCGGGGGGGGGGGGGGGACTTTTCTGGCTTCTCCGGGAGGTGTGGTGGGGGGCGCGCGTGCAGGAGTGAAACCCGTAGGGTGTCTGGCAAATTTTGAGATGCTTTTCGCAGGTTCGGGTAGCTCAAGGGATCCCAACACATTGACAAATCCACAAAGGGGCCCGGTGGACTACGCAGGGAATACCTCCAACACGGCTGGTGCTTGGTTCTCAAAGGGCTGGATGTTTGGCTTGCGTGGCTTTTTGCGAGTTTTCATGGCTTTTGGCGGCTTTTGGCGGCTTTTGTGGCTTTGGCTTTGGCTTTCCGCATCCTCAGCATCACTGCAACACTCCCAGCATCACCGGCTTTTGGCTTTTTGGAATGTTTAGCCCCAGCTTTTGTGATGTCAGAAACCTCCCCTTTACACTATGGGTGTTTTGAAAAAATGGGGAGCCAACAAGCTGGCTTGTCTTCTTTTGGTTTCCCCACAGATGCTATCCACAAGGAGCATGTCCTGGATGGGAACAAAACATGCTCTGAGTGGGTTGGCAGGGGGTCTCCTTACATGGCGGAGTGAAAGTTGTTTGTCGTTCGCCTGAGTTTGGTGGGGAAATCAATGTGTCCCACGTCCTCTTCAACCCGGCAGCAGACTTCCAATTGTCTTTTGTCACTGTCAGAAGGTCTGCTTGCCTGAGATTGGCAGGGACGGCCCCTTCATAGGGCCCCTTAATAGACAACCATGGCAAGGGTTCCTAGCAAGACAACCACGACCGCGATCACATCCCAGCAGTTTTGACCATGGCACATATGGAAGTGGTCAAAAGGGCAACTCGTTACCCTGTATCAACGAAGTTAGAATTCCCACCTCTGACCAGGGAGACACACACACACACACACACATCAAGCAACCAGACTAACCAAAGCAAGGCAAGCAGTCACTCAAAGCAAGAAATCAAGGCCCCCAAGCCAGATCAAACCAAGACAGAGACACACGCACTCAACACAAGACAACACAAAACAGACCAGCACACCTCAATGCAAGAAACTCCAAACAACACACTCAAAACAACGCACGCACACACACACAAACGCAAAAGTAAGTCCCAAGAAAGACAAGCGGGTCAAGGGAAACCACCAAACGACCAGGGGGGGGAAGTGTGAGTCGGAGGATTGCTGGTGCTGCCATATGATGCGGTCCCCACAGTTCGAGTTTGGAGTTCAGAGCTGGAACTCGATGCAGGCCTTGCTGCCCCTTGCCCAAAATTTCAAATCCGGGGGTGGTTGGGTGGTTTGAGCCCCGGTACTGTTTGAAACCAATTGGGGAAGGTGTCCAAACCACCAAACCCAACGACCAATTAGTGGTAAGGTGACAGGGGAGTTGATCAAATCCCCCTTGGTTGGTGTTTAAAGAGAAAAGGAAACCAACCCTTCTAGGGAGAAGACCCTATTTTGAGACACCCCCTCTCAGCGCAGGATTCAAGGCAGACATCAATTGTTTTTTTGTTCTTCGGTACACGTTTTGCAAAACGTTGTATGCTTGCAACAATGCGCATTTTGTCCATGAAATCCAAGAATGGGAATCAGATCCCATGCAAATGACACCTCTTGAAATTCCATGTTAAGGTCCATCCAAAAAAGGGGAAGGCAGGATCCTCTCTTTTTTTGAGACACCCGTTTTTGAGGCTACTTTAAAAAGCGAGTGTGGTGCTTGAGATTCTAGCAAATGTGATTCGACAGGCGAGGGATCGTGAGAAGGGTCCTCAACCGGTACAAGTCATTTGGGTTGATCAAAAGGTCCTTTAAATGGATGATCATTGGGACAGCTACCAAAACAAAGATGAGTTTCACCACGAAATCGGAAAGTTGGTCATTCCGGGGCTGAAGGGAATATTGGCCAACCCCCCCCTCCCCCCCGTGGCACAAAATTTGAGGCACCCCTCCGGGCGGTGTCTCTAAACGAACCAGAGGATAGGTTTCAGCCGTACTCTGAACAAGGGCAAAGCTTCCCCATACATTTTCGCTTTGCGAGTACACGGGAATCATGGAGGGGAGAACCATTGGTATGGCAAACAGGTTCTGATCGCTTGCACTAAGGGACAAACATGCAAGTATCCAGAAGGAACCTATTTGTTCGAACCCCTGGAACGGGTCACAAGAGGATGGCAAGCCACAGGAGGATGGAGGTAAGCCGCTATTTTCTCCTTGTCTGGTCCAAAAAGGTTGTTCCCAACTCGGTAAATAGCAGCCCTGAGGGTCCTGGCGAGCTTTTGACTCGCAGCTCGCTCTGAGGAAGTGCGTGGGCCGCGAACTCGCCGGGAGCTTCCTGATGGTGCAGGCGGGGAAGCGAATCACGGCGAAGGGTGTTGGAAAAGCCTGGGCCGCCCCTGCCGTCCCTCGGCGAACTTTTCTGAAGATTAATGTTGACCCCGGATTAATAAGCCCCAAAAGAGAGAAATCCCCACTAAAACCAGGACATCCCCATATTAATCAAGAGGGGTTTATTAATCCGGGGTCAACATTACTTTGAGGGTTATTATCCTTTAAACCAGTATGAGAATAGATTTGAGCATCTTTAATGGGGTCAGTTTGCCTTCGGGATCTCTTGCGTTTGCTTTTTCACCTTTTGAGGTGCGCACATGAACCAGTATCTTGACATGTGTAATAGTTTGGGAAAAAGACGGGTTTCTCTTTGGTGAAACAGTATGCTTCTTTGCAGAGTTGCAGGCCTCCAGCATTTTGTTCGTTTCACCCCTCGCAAAAAACACAAGTTTTGGAAGATCTTCAGGGTACCCCCCAATCGGCGTATTGGATTGGTGGGTTGGGGACTGCTTCTTGTAGAGGGTACATGGGACGCCACCACCTAACCTCGAAACCACAAATCCAAACCGGCAATTGGAAGGTTAGTAAGGGGCGTCCCAGCCAGAAATCGTTGCGGATATCCGCCTTCTTATTTCTTTGCATGGTTCTGGGTAGACCAGTTTAATACCGGGTTTTGATTGTGACTCAATTGGACGGCTGCAGAAAGATGCAGTTTTTGTTTTTTTCTTTTTCCGGGGCCGGTAAGGGCGTTTTGTCCAGGAGCTTCAGCCTACGTATGTTGAGTGAGGCTCAGGTGAACTTTGGGCGCGGGCCTTCACCATCTCCAGGCTAACATGGGTCTGTCCCCTGTTGGATGGTTTTACAGCTTCCATTTGCTTAATAATATGTTTTTCCCCTTGTTGGTTTTAAACGGAATTCATCACTACTGGACATATTTTTTTTTTTCTTTCTCCTGGCGTCTTGAAGAAATGGTTTTACAAGGGAACCAACAGCAAGCCGCTCATGTTGGGGGGGTTCTCCTGTGATGAGACCCTAACCCCATCCCGAGGTCTGAGGTCCGAGCTTCAGAGCCCTAACCCCCGAGGATAAAAAAAACCATGGCGGGTGATTAAAATAAGACGTCGGCGCAGACCCCCGAAGCGCCGCTCGTGTCGAGCTCTGGCTTTTTCTTTCCGGTGTCGCTTGTGTCGAAACCTCCACGTGAGACCCAGCAAATTCTTGGAGGACATGCGGACTCAGATCCCGGCTCCCAGGTTCGTATCTCATCCGCTTCTGTACCCCTTCTTACCTTCTGAGATGACATGTCTTGTTCAGAATTGACATGCCCCTTTTAGGGGGAAGCCACTATGATACCTTTAGGTTTGATGGGAAGAATCAAGAGCCAACAGTCTGAAGGGGAAATGGCGCGTACCAAAGAACGTTGGGCGTTCCGGAAAGGGGGTTGCTTCTGTTGAAAGGGGGCTTATTTGAACGAGTTGGGTGATTCCCAATCTCTTCTCGGAGCCCTTTTTGCTCCAAACCTCTCTGTCCATTTGCCTAAGACATAACCCCTCTTTACACCAGGGTGAAAGTAGATGGCCCAATTCCCTTTATGTGAGCACGTAAACGACTTGACTAAACCAACATGAAATTGTTTTGGCAGCACCTTCCCCATTCTCTTGAGAGATCTGTCTCTTCAACACATACACCCAACATCTGGGAAAATGAGTGGATTCCATTCAGAACGGGTGAAGAGAATCTTTAAAGAGACGAGTGATAATGGGGAATCAACCCTTAGACTTCTTTTATGTGATATGTTAAGATTCTGATCCCGGTCCATGCTGAGTCTACTTGAAGTATGCGACCTGCTACTGGACCCATTTTTTTTCTGGTCATGGGTCCCGTACCCCCAGTGAACATCCCAATTCCCACTAAACTAGTTTCTAAACTGGGTTGGTGAATTCACCGAAAACCCCAGCCATGGGATCAACCACAACGGTTTTGACAAAAAAAGCAGCCCTATTTTGACCAGGGGTCGACAAAGGCCACTGGAAGCTTTCGCTTTCGCCCTCTAAGCCTTGCCTGGAGGCTTCCTGCTCTCTGGGCTTCATCTACGTGCTGGCCAACGGCCGGGGGGTTCCGGCCGGCTCGCTGGCTCGCGGGGTCGGTTTTTTGGCTTCTGATGGCTGAGAAGGTCTAAGCCAATGCCGGGGGTTAGGGGGACCTTCTGTGAGTTGCTGGTGACCTCCGTTATAACTTGACCCACTTCTAAGCTCCCCGTTCAGTGGGGTTTACCCCCTGTTAAGAGTGAGTTATCACCCAACTGGCTAACCACTTACTTGCTGAACATCCAAGCATAGGTTATCACCCACTAAGAACCCGATTCAGTTCAGTTAACCCTGTTATTGTCAACGCTTCGCGTTGCCCGTCTCGGCCAGTATGGTTTTGGCTGGCTTTGAGGTGCTGTGCTTTGGTTTGCCTTGAGGTGTGGAGCTTGTTTGAGTGAGTGAGTCGGCACCGACATGTGTGATGGAGGGTGGGTGCATGTTCGCGCGTTTCCACATGGCTTCAAGGGCTTCAGTGGACTGTACTATATTACTGGCAAACGGATTCATGGGGGCGTTTTTCATGACTTAATTGGATGCCGGATTCACCAACGCTCCCCAGCAATGATCCCACTTTTGCCGTGTGCGCGTGTGCGCGTGTGCGCGTGTGTGCGCGTGTGTGTGTGTGTGTGTGTGTGTGTGTGTGTGTGTGTGTGTGTGTGTGTGTGTGTGTGTGTGTGTGTGTGTGTGTGTGTGTGCATTTCCCCGTTTTGGGTGGTTTAAACGGGACACCACCATGAAACCCACGGTTAGAAAATCCACGACAGGCACCAGTTGAAGTTGGGATGGATGAAGTAGAAATACTGGTTGAGAAGCCACTTGCCGAGCGCCGAGCGGCGCACCAGAGTTTTGGTCCACCCCCACCGTTCTATGTATGCTATATAAATTTCCGATTGATACACCTACTATAAACTACCACCTACCAAACGGTGGATTTGCTTCTGGCTTCCCTTGACACCACGGTGACAAGAACACTGCTCAACAAACACACCCATGTGTTTACTGAAAATCACAGGGCTTCTGGCTTGATGTTTGGAAGCCAGTTCGGCAGTGGATCGACTTCGTGCTTACAAAATCAAGGGGAAGGGAACAGTTGGGATGGACTTTAACAGGATCACCTGGACATATCATCCAACTCAGAAAGGGTCAGTTCTGTCTTCTGTTTGTAATATGGTCCACCAAAGGGTTTTTAATTGAACTCCACACCGTCGTCGCGGTGGTTTGGGGTCTTTCTCAAACGACCTAACTTAGCTCGGGCCAAGTTTGAGGATAAGTCCACCAAACACCCTAAACATACCCACTTGCACCGACCCATTTCGCCCACTAGCTTCGAACCATTTGGGGGCTTGGGCCGCTCAGCCGCTGGCCGCTCGGCAGGCGTGGCCTATGGGCTGAGGGAGGAGGTTGAGCCAAACCAGATGGTGATGGAGGCGCTGAGTGCTCTGCCTTTGGTCTTCCTCTTCGGCTCCTTGGAGTTTCGAGATCGGTCTCTCGCCGTCGGTGGAAAAGACTGAGTTAATCCCGAAAACCCAGTTGCCCAGTGGTGCCCTCTTCTCTTTTTTTTGGGGAAGGGTTCCCCTTTGAAGTCAACCAACCAAAAAAGGATGCCCCTTTTTCCCATGGCCACTGGGCATCTGCAAAAAAATGATTAAATCCCGAATCCCGAAAGTGTGATTTAATCCGGGAAGATGTGGTTAAATCCCCGAATCCCGAATCCCGAAAATGTGATTTAATCCTGAAAATTTGTTTTAATTCCGAAAGTGTGATTTTACCCCGCGATTGTGTTTTGATCCCGAATCCCGAAAGTGTGATTTAATCCGAAAATGTGATGAAATCCCGCATCCCGAATCCCGAAAATGTGATGAAATCCTGAATCTCGAAAATGTGATTTGATCCCGACCCCATTGTGATTTGATCCCGAAGGTTCTCATGGGAGCCCCGAGTCTACGCGGTTGACTTTGAGCTGGGGATGTGTGTGTGTGTGTGTGTCCTTCGGCTGGGGTTCGTCACTTTTGGAGGGAACATCCCCTATTGATCGCACGGCTTTTTCTGACGCCGCGCCAAGGACTTCCCCCGGTTTCCCTTTGTGGGAGGAAAGCCGCAACAAAACGCCACCACGCGTTTTCTTTTGGAGGGGTAGCGCTCTTGGCGACTGGGTCCATTAAAGCTTTTATCCACAAGCTGACTCTCTGAAGGGTGCTCTTCTTCGCAAAACACCCCCTCTGAATGTTCGATTGGGTGCCTGTTCTCAAAAATACCGGGCATTGGGGGAAAAGGGGGGGAGAAAGCAAAGGTAGTTTTCAGGTCTCGTTTTTCGGGTTGGGGTTATGTTGTTAAGACGATACCCATTTCCCCTTTGGTTGCAAGGGAAGCCACCGAACGGCCGTTTTGGGGTCAACCTGGAAACCGTTCAACGAATTTCCACGGGTTGCCCGCATCAACCACATGGTTGAGCTTCATGGGTGTTTACGTTTTTCAGAAATGAGCAACTTGTTGACTCCCGTCTAAATACATAACCTCCCACACACACACACACATTTCAGTATCCTTCTGAAGGGAATCCTCTTTCTGGCATCCGTCGTGTCATGCGGTGTTGGGAGCTTCTTGCAATGTATCGACTGTTTTGCGAACCCATTGAAAAGAAGTGCACGGTTGTATCTAGAAAGCGGTTTGGATGCGCTTTGTGGGGAATTCACCTGTTGAAAGTTGCAAGCCAAACCTGCCTAGATGGTGAAAAAGAGAACGCATACAATGTCGGCCCCGGAACATTCAACCTACCCCCCACAAAAATACCTAGGGGCTTATTCATTTATTTGCGAAAACGAAACGACCGTTTGACCTTTTGGTTTCCCTGATTTGGTATTTTTTTCTCAAGGTTCCAAAAGGTGATCTCCTTGAATTTCTGGGTCTGAACTGGGCAACTGAGTTCATCCAGCCACAATTTCTGACCCAAAAGTTCCAAGACCTCTACAGCCGAGCGCCCTGCTTTTTGTTTATGTAGACAGCAACAACTCCAAAAACAAATCTGCTAGGATTCTTGAACAGTCCTTGCGTAGCGTATTTCCACGAGTTTTGTGTATACCCCAGGAGTACACACTTGGAACATGACCCAACATATTCCGAAACAGCCGGGCTTTATCTGTATCGCCAAATGGGGAATGGTTTGGGTGTAATCACTTGCTGAATGGCAACGGACAGTCGAGTTACAACCTCCTTTTTTGGACCTGGGTTTGGTGCTCGTGGATTCTTTGGATTCCCATTCCCCTTGAGGTGGGAAACGGTGAAGAAGACGCTTTCGAACCACCCCAAGGTTTATTTCGTGGCTTGGAAGTTCGGGGTGTTCAGGAAAACCCCCCTCCTTTTCTTGGATCCCCTGAACGGTTTAGTCCCCTGCGCCCCAACCGGTTAGTAACCATGTCACCCTTCCCAAGCCGTCCCATCCCAAGCCGCTCGCCCGCCTCCCATTCGAGGCCTGGGCATGCGCCTCTTCTCCCACGGCGCGGCCTTGTCGGAGAAGTGCCGGATCATCCCGGCCTTTGTGAACCAGATCCCCGGGGAGGCGAGAAGAAGCGGAAAGAACGCGGAAAGCGGGCCGTTCTGGGAGCAATTGATTGGTTTCTCCGGCTGTTTGTTCTTTTTTTTTTCTGGGATCCATGTTTGTTTCTCCGGCTTTGCTGTGTGTGTTTTGTTTGGGGGGGCTCCGTATTTTTCCAATTTTTGCTGCGCTCCAAACATAAAAACACTTTTTTTTGCTACCATACCATGCGTTGCAGAGAAATCTGATCGGCCGGGAAGCCGACCGCGCTGTTTGTTCTTCTTTTCTTCTTTTTTTTCCATCAGGCTTCCCCATGTTGGACCAACCGTATTGCGGGAGTTTTCCGATGAGGGTAAACCGCATGTTGACCCGTCGCCACCGGAAGTGGGGTGTCCACCCCTTTTTGTGGGGCGGGGCACAGCCCAACAGGTGGTCTGAACGCCCACAAGGGGACACCCCCAATCGGGGGTTATGAAAACCAACCTGGCCAGACCCTACCAGCACCAAATTTTTGGGTTTGGCTCTAAATCGAAGCCTCACAACGCGTGGTTTCCCTTCGGGCCTCAAAGAAAACCTCGGCATTTCGAGTACCCGGTTTGGTTTCGATAGGCAGGGTTTATGACTATTGAATTCCAAAGAGAGGTGGCCTGAAACCTCCCCTTTGGAGTCATTCCCAGGCGTGAAATGGGTGTGTCTTCTTTTGAGGGTACCCTTTTTGGATGATGTTAAAGGGAAGCAACAAGAGGAACAACCGCCATTTTGCGGGGGGCACGCGAAAAAATGGAAGCTCCCTGAGATGTAGCAAGCAAAAACCGCACAGTCCCCTGAAATGGCCGTGGTTGAAATCACAAAGACAACAATCGGATGGGTGTTTTGTCCCATGGTTTGAATGGAGACGCAAGGGAAAACGAGGCATTTTGGAATCGGCCCACCGATCTGGAGGCAAACCCATGGGGCTTGGGGTCAAACAGTTTTGTTGTTTGTGGATTCTTGTGCTCCGAAGTCAAAGGTGGATTCTGGTTTGGTCAGGGTTTCTGTGGACTCTTGTTCGGTTGCTGTAAGAATCCGTTTCTGCGGATTCTTGTTCTTTCCGTGGATTCATTTCTTCATGTTTGGTGCTTACTCTATGCTCTTTGAGAACGTTTCCAGAGGATCCACAGTGGCGCAGCGCTTGCCAATCGGCATCCTTGGAGACCCATCCAGGTCAGGTTCGTATTGGTTTCCTCTTATTTAAACCCATCAAGACAGGTTTCCGAACCCTGAGACCCTAGACCTTGAAGATTCGGTTGTCCATGATTTCCCCAATCAAAACCAGCCAAAAGTAGTCGCTATTTGCAGAGGCTCTCCACCCCTAGGATCTAAACCTTAATAGGGGGTGCAACTCCCCCCAAAGTACTCCGGGTTTCCTGGCAAATGGGACAGTGTCCAATGAAATCAACCAGGGATTCCACTGAGAAGGCTTGAAGGAAGACAGTTTTCAAGTAAACTCCACCTACCTCATATAATTACACATGAAAAGTGGGGGTTCTGCTTAGGTGGCTGCAGTGGTGGCTGCAGTGGTGGTGGTGGTTGTGGTGGTGGTGGTGGTGGTGGCGGCGGCGGCGGCGGCGGCGGCGGCAGCAGCAGCAGCAGCAGCAGCAGCAGCAGCAGCAGCAGCAGCACAGCAGCAGCGGCGGCGGCGGCGGCGGCGGCAGCAGCAGCAGCAGCAGCAGCAGCAGCAGCAGGTGAGAAACAGCGCCTCGCAGACCTCATCGAGCAGAGCATTTTGGAGCTGATACAAGAAAAGTAACAGCCAAGTTTTCTCAGGTTTTAGGACACCCCATAGTTGTTTGTGGTTTTTAGCCATCCCTTTTGTTTTTTTAGCTTTTTAGTGTTTAGTGGGGATGTCCATTCAACCCACTAAAAGTTAAACGTTAGCGGGGGATCTGAAAACGGACACCCCATGGCTTGTCAAGAGGGGGTTCCCATTTTTCTGCCAGGAGAGCATCGACGTGGACAAGCAATACCTTGTGAGCTTCATCACCCATAGCTCTGCGGGCTTCTTCGTGCGCGATGTGAAGCTCACCCAAGAAATGCCCCTTGGCCTCGGTCCCCGACACTGAGGGGATGTGGTGGAGCCTCCTTTAAAAGCAAACCAACAACATTGACATGGGTATGGGTTAAAACCACCAGGAGTTGGACCGCAGGTTTTAGTCCTTGCTTGTTTCCATTTACCAAAATGAGATGTGATGCCACCAACATTGGTTGTTTCCCTTCAGTTTTCCCTTTAGCACAACCATACAACAGTCCAAAACGAGACACACTCGCTTGCAAAAAACAGGAGGGTGATTCCGCATTCTCTTCTAAGCCACCCGTTTCCCCTTGGTCTTGAGCAAGTTTTCGAAGAGAAGAATCCCTGAACAGGGGGAGAAGAAGGGAAGAGCACCGTGGGTGGTATTCCAGGTCCCCTTTAAACCTTCTTCAAAAGGTTGTTGATGTCTGGACCATTTTCTGAGTCGGCAAAAAGGTCACAAAGGGCGACTACAAGGAGGCCGCTAAGTTTGACCCGCCCCCCGCTTATCGATCCCAGACATCACGCAAATAGGTTCTGACGGGCAGGTCTTAGCCGTCCTCGAACTCCGTCGAAGGGATGTCTGTTGCCAGCTAGTGATTCAGTGGGAAGGAGTCGGTGACCTGGGTACGCCCATGTACGAAGACCTGCTCCATCTCTTCTGTTTGCTCAAGGCGCCACCAACGACCCAAGAAGAAGTTGCCAGGCAAAAGCTTTTCCTTTTTACCAACCTAAGGATGCTGAGTAATATTGGCCCTTTTGCTCTCAACCCGCAAACAGGTTTCCTTCATTCCCTCAATCAACCACACGCGTACTTCAGCACCTTGAGGCGCAAGCCGTTTTTTGGTCGATGAATCTGATAGGTGTTCAAGATAGGACAGGTCGCCCTAGAACGCGTGTTTACGTTTGTTGGTTTCTCTTCACAAAAAGGGTGGTTTTAAGTTTTAACTTCATCCAGATCCTTTGGGTGAGAGTTTTCTTGTCCGCGAGAAGACGGCAAAGCACCCGGCCCCACAGTCTCAGTGGACATTTATCACGAACCGCACACCTCGACCCTGAAACTACCCCAAAACATGAAGTTATTGACCTAGTTTGAGGGTCTAGGCAGCTTGGTCACTTGTTTTGGCGAGGTCGACTGGATATTTCTCGGCCACAGCTATTTGTTCGCCATTCTTTAGCCATTCTTTCGCCATTTTGACAGTGTTTCCAGAACCTCCCCCACCAAATGATTGTTTTCCTGCTGGTTTCCTCGAAACCAACCTTAAAACAATCCTCGACACATCCAGATCCGAGTGCTTGGTTTACTGCCGAGAGCCTGAGACGCCGAGGTTTATCAAACAATTTATCCTCGTTGGTGGACTGCTATCAGGCCTAAGGGCATTCGAATCGATCCAAATCGGAAGAGCTTGGTGTGTCAATGAATCAGATGGGTTGGTCTCAAACCGAGATTTAAACCCGCAAAGCGGTTGGTTCCCTTTTGGTCTCCCTTTTAAAAGCAACCAAGAGGGGGGTTCCCCAAAGAACAAGACACACCATGGACCCCCAAGTGTGTGGCCAAGCCACAAAGAAGGTTCCGGTGATAAAGGATCTCTTATTCACGGCGAAGCCCGCGTGTGGGGTTGCTACTTGACTCTTTGATGCCCGAGTACCTTTTCAAGCCATCGCCAGGTCGTTGATTTCCTAGTGGCATAAATCAAACAGACAAATACCCTCCCACAACATGGATTCTGACAGTCCCTTTAAAAGGGAGATGATCCAAACCAGGACTTTGCAAAACGTTTGGTTTCACGTTAATTGGTGGGAGGGCCAAGGGGCCTTTCAAGAGGTGAGTCTTGCAACAAACATCTGTTCACTTCCATGAACCTCAGGTTGAGTGTCTCTAGTGAGGGTGATGGCTTTGCTTTTGGGTTCCAGCTTTTACCTACGTGAAAGTGGCACCGGTGCCCACTATCCACCCCACACGACACCCCTGAAGCTTGGACAAATTGGTCAAATATGGGTGTGTTCTTGTTTAGGGACCCCCGCCCCCCAACAACGAATGTGTTTTGTCCTTTTGGGTCCCCTTTAAAACCACCAAAAAGGGGGTTCCTCAAAGAGATACACCACGACGTGAATGTGGATGTGTTCATTTGTTTCTCGCCGATCACACGGACGGTGTCGTTCTCGCTGAATCCAGAGCTCACGAGGGAGGTGGGCGAGAGAACGGGCGCAAGCCCGGTTCAAGCCCCAGTGACATGTGGGTGTGTCCGTTCGGCCAGGGCAGTTGAAAAGTGCCAAGATGTCACTAAACCTTGGTGGCGAAGCCAGCCATCCTGTTCCTTAGCTTTTTAGAGCTTTTTAGTTGGTTTAGTTGCTGGATTTCCATTAAACCCACCAAAAGGTTGGTCACTTTTTAGCAGGGGATCTGAAAACGGGCAGCCCAGAAACCGTGCGACTTTTGGAGGAACATGGGTGACTGACTGAAGCTTCCCATGTCCTAGAGGCTAGTGGTGTTATCCCACAGCCCGTGTTAGAAGCACCGCGGCGAAAGAAACATAAAAAACGCTCAGCCGGAGGACAGAACCTGAGTCTTGCAGAGGGTTTAAAGGGAAGAACCATATGGACAACCATTGCTTCGCTGTTCTTGGATCAAGTTGTTTTCGTTTTTCGTTTGGCTTGGGGTTCAGCTCATTTTTGGGTTTGGCTGCAAAAAGCAGCCGGCGTTTTTGCAAGGTGAAGATTCCCAAAAAGAGACAGACCCAACAGACCCACTTGCCTGACATGGATTGTTTGCTTCTCTCCAAGTCTCTTTGCCTCGCCCATTGAAAAGCTGTCGGGACTTTGGTGTTCCTGCTGTCCCTGAGAGCAAGTTACATTTACATCTATCCTTCCAATGAAACCCATGAAGGGCAGACAGGCTCCCTTTAGAGGAACATAGGCAGGCCTTAGGGCCTGTGGGACTTGAACTGTGGGACCTAGGTAGAACCAAAAGGACAAGAAATGCTCGGCAAGATCCGAGCTTGTCTTTTTTGGAAGGTGCCCCCTTTTTTGGGGGTTCCCCTACAAAAAGACACCCATTTTTGATTTCCACAGTGTTGTGCTATCACGAATCGTTTGTGACCAGCTTTACCCAGACGCACATCTCGCTGCGTGCTAGTTTTAGCAATACCCTCATTTTTCCTGGGCAGGGTGGTTTTGGAGTTGGTACCTGTTCTTTAGGTTTGTTTACAGGGACGTCAAGGAACGCCGCCATGTTCGGCCCCGCCAATTTGAGACACCTTCCGCGTTGACTCCCTGGCAAAGCCTCGTATTTGGATCCCCATCGAGCGATCACCCGGACCATTTGCATCCCAACCTTTCAAACCTATGGCAAACTCGCCGCCCCCTCCCCCCCTGCCCCCCGGAAAGACAAAAAACACCTCCCCCCCAACAAAGAAAAACAACCAAACAACCAGAAACTGCCCCCCAAAGGTCGCCGCCAAAGTCGCCCAAACCTCGCCGGAGGCTTGTTCGGAGCGTTGTCGCGCATCTACCTTTGAGGAGATGCCTCGGGCCTGCGACGCCGAAACCGCGGGTTTGAAACGACTTTTGGTTTCGGACCTGGGAGGACCTGTAAACTAGGTCCCCCAGTAGTGCCCTTCTCTCCCCTTTTTTGGGAGAGGGTTCCCCTACCAAAATAGACTGCAGAAAGAAGGGTACCCTTATTAACCTCTCTACTGGAGGACCTTTAAACTTTCCGATAGCGGGTCGCGCAACTGGCAAATGGAGTACCCAAGTACCCAAGTTGGCACCGCCAAAGCAAATGTTGGGGTCTGAGGGTCAAGATTGGAGACTTCTTGTGGCCCTCTAAGCCTGAAAAGAGTACTTGGGCTCAAAACACACAGATTGGGTTTCCCAGTAGGGGAGCCCTCGAAATGGCGGGGCTCCTTTTAAAACCAACAGGGCGCCCCCCCCGGGGTTCGTCCGATCGACTTTTCCGGTGCTGCCGAGAGTGCAGGAGCAGAAGTATCCTCCGGCGGCCGAAAATCTTTAGGCCTGGGGCTTGAGGAAAAGACCGGGACTAAGATTTCAACATTCAAAGTTGGGAGAGCGTCCGAAAGCCCTGTTTGCCAATGTAGTTAAAGGGTTATGCTGCCTCTGTAAACCCAAAAAACCCAAAAGCCCAAACAAAACCAAAAAAAAACAAAAAACCAAAAAAAACAATAAACAAAAAAAAGAACCTAAACAAACAAAAACTGTTTCATTTAAGAGCCCAAGCAGCTTCGTTGGCACCAAAGTCCACTTTTGGCAAGCTCTCGTGGCTTCTCAGTGCAGCTCCTCAGTCCTCTGAGACGGGGTTCGTTGCCATTTACGGCGGTTAGCTGAAGCACACAGGGCTTGCTGCTTTGGCCGAAGCAAGATATGTGGTTGGCACTTGAAGTTTGGTTTCTGCGCTTACTGGTCCAAAGCGAAGTTTCTGGCCGGATTTGACCTTTTGGTTTCTACTGCACCTCGGGATTACGGTAAGTGGGGCCACCGGGGTATAAGCCAGCTCGGCCAGAACCGTCCTTAGGCTGTTGCCCAATGATTAGCCTTTACTGGCCCCTGCGGTTGGCGTAACTAGCGGGAAAAGGGCTATTAGCGACTATAAGCCTGTTTCTCTAACGGGGGACCCCCCTTGCCGGAAGGACAATAACCGTGTTTAAAGCCTCCCCCAGCACCCTCCGACTACTGTTTTCATTTCATTTTCGAAACTACCGTCTATTTCGCAGTAGTTCCGAGAATAACATAAAAGACAGTAGATCTCCGATCTACGGTTGTTTCATGTTCTTTCCCGAACAGCAAAAAGCAAGCTTATATCCCTACCCCTGCCCAAGCCACACGAGGTGACACGCAGGTGACACGGGGTGACACGCAGGCGACACGGGGTGACACGCAGGCGACACGGGGTGACACGCAGGCGACACGGACACGGGGGCGATACGGGGGCGACACGCGACACGGGGGCGACACGGGGGCGACACGGGGTGACACGGGGTGACAGGCAAAAACTACTGTTATTCACGGGGGCGACACGGGGTGACACGCAGTTGACACGGGGTGACACGAGGGTGACACGGGGTGACACGCAGGCGATACGCGGTGACACGCAAGTGACACGGGGTGACACGTGAGTGACACGGGGTGACACGCGAGTGACACAGGGTGACATGCAGGTGACACGTTGTGACACGCGGGTGACACGGTGAGGCGCTTGCTGCACTTACTGCCATGCCTAGCAGTAGTTAGTCATGGCTCCAAAAGGTTTACCCTGGGGTTCAAACCACCATTAAAGCAAATTGGGTTCACCATTCTTTTAATTAGTGGGGGTCGAACCCCAGGGTGAATCTTTTACTTCTGGTTCATTTGGGCAACTGAGGTTTGTGTTCTCTTCATCTTCCGCTGTGTTCGGGAGAAAAGGCCCCCCCCGCCGTTTGGCTCTGGGCCCTGGGACGCCCGGGCGCAAGTATTGAAAGTAAGGAAGGGGGAACCTCTTATGGAACCTCTAAGCCTCCAACAAACATGGCACCTGTGGGGAGGTATCTTGAAGACAAATGTCCTTTTGACGGGACCTCCTGTCAGATGCCATGTTAGTGGGAAGGATCTCCCACCAACTAACATGGAAGTGCAAAAAGGCCAACTAACCAAGAGGAAAGTAGTCTTTCTACAGGGGTCTGTGCACTTTGATGTTAGCTGGTGGGAGGGTATCTGCAATTGATCAGAGTTTTGTGGTTGGATGTGCCGGTTAGCCTGCAATGCTCAAGAATTGACCAGGCATCTTCATGAATGACTTTACCATCTTCTATCCCCCTCAAAGAAGGTGTGCCCTTGTCAAGGGTGCCCCTTTTTGGGCCTGTCGTACAGGAAGCTCAAACGAAACCCACCCATTTTGCAGGTACCCATATTTTGAGACGAACCCGACCTCACCTGGTTCAAGTCACAAACTTTCCAGACCTGGCTCGCTTGCAGATGCATTCGTCTTATGCCCTTTTGTGGTCGACTTGGAATCAGTGCAGCCCAATACGCTGCCCGTTTTATCGGACGAGGGAGAAAGCCTTTCAGACTTTTCTGGGGCACGCGGGCAAGATATTTTCTCTCGAGTTGAGAAAGCTTTTTGGAGGGCGTGGAACTTGATTTCCTCCAAGATCGGTCAAAGCCCCATAGACAGGTTAGGTTCAGCGATATCAAACATAGGTGAAGCATCCTTGGATATTCGGCCCAGGGAGGAAGTGGCTAGCCACTTGACTTCTGGTGCACTTGGAACAGACTCCAGCGGGGGCATTGTTCGCCCAGGGTCCGTTGCAACAGCCTAACCTGGCAGAACAGTCCGAGAGTGGTGTTTGTGCTTTGGGACATGAAAGTTGATCAATATTTTATTTAGGGCCCCCAAAAGTGCATGGGTTTCTCTTTTCCCGCGTGGTTGACATCTCATCCTTTTCGTGGTGTTCCAATGGTCGCATCATGGGACCTCTTGCCCATTGCCCTCGAATCTTAGCGCCCTGGGGCTCAGGCAATGAGAAATGGAACCCCAAGAAAGCCATGACCCAAAAGGTTTCCTTAAGCTCTAGGTTCCTTCCCATGGCTCATTCCGTGAGGGCCAGGTTGGTGGCTTGGATGGGTGGGACTTGAAGGAGCGGTGCATGGCGAAACCCGAAACCCCGCGAAACCGAACCCCGGAGCAGCTCCAAACCGATGAGACCGGCTCGCCGCAAGCCAGCCAGGTGGATTTTGTGTTCGGCTTGGTTCCCAACCCTTGGCATCGCAAGCTTCGTGTTCGCAACGAACGAACCGAAGCAAGCAGCTCAGCAACTGAAAGATGCCAAGCGGCGATTTGGAGCTGGTTCTTGACCCTTCTTCCTCTGCGTTTTTTCCTCTCAGCTAAAACCGAGCGATCCTCCGCATCGAGGCGATTCTCCCAAGCCCCGGCCGCCGAGGCTTTTAACTTAACGGCACGGGGCTCAGAGAGTTCGGAGCGCCCGAACAGTCCTTTGGACAGTCGTCAAGGTCCCCAGTCACATGGTACCCAGGGACCCAGACCGTACCTAAACCCCAGCTAGGTGCCCTTCTCTCCCCTTTTTTGGGGTTTTGGGTTCCCCTACTAAACTAGACTACAGAAAAAAAGAATCACCCAACCTTTCTTTTTTGGTTGGGAGGGTTCAACCCTACTAAAATAGACGAAACAGAAAAAAGGTACCCTTGCTCTAACCTCTCTACTGGAGGACCTAGTCGCAATGGGTTCGGCAAGACGCACTTTGAGTTCTCTACCATGAGCTTCGACCACTGAACGTGCTAGGTTTAGATCTTGGTGAATCAAACGTCCATCAAAGGCATGTGTGCCAGGGAGGAAACACAACTCCACCTGGTGGTTGGAATCACCACGCCCGTAGGGAATTTGGACCATTGGAAAACCATGATCAGGATTCCTGCGTAGTCCTATAAAACGCCACATGGTGGAAGAGCTCAAACCGGGGCTCACATGGCCAGACTGAACAATTAAAACAACGGACACCAAATGCAAAAAGAACACACCGCAGATCATTGCCAGACCTTGTCTAGCAGTTTTGCTGCCTTTTGCTCCTTTTGCCCGATGTGCCCCTTTGCCCTGCGAGATCTCATAAGAAGTATGTCCTTTTGACCAGCAAAATAAATTTAGCCAACCTTTTGCAGGGGGGTGGGATCAGATCGTTTGTGCAAGGCTAGCCTGCCCTGCACAGGACCCCTGTCAACTTCTGTTTGCTTAAAATAATATTGTGTATTTTCCCTGGTTGGTTTTAAAGGGAATCGATTTCACTGCTGGACATAAGTTATCAATAACTGTTCCGGGGGGCGAAGAAGCAAATAGAAGTATTTCCAATAACATCGTCTTCCAAAGATGGTTGTATTGCAGCCTGGTTGCGAATATGCGCATGACAACTCCCCCAATTGACAAAGTAGTCAGGGGTAAAAGGTGTATTAGAGAGTGAAATGATAGTGAGATGAAAGGGAAACAGGATGGTGACATGGAACCCATCCGAAGATTTGAATTTCCTTTCATATCCACATCTCTTTGGTTCCTCAGGTCATAAGAGACGTGGGGTATCACAGAACGGCATGCGAGGATCATCCCACTTACGAGGCTTTCAAGGTAACACGTCCTTGAGACGGCTTCCAGTTGCTGAAATGAATATGTTGTATCTTCCCTTGTTGGGTTCAAAAGGAACTGGTCACTACTGGACATTTTTTTTTTTCCAGGGGTCTTAACCAAATGGAAGACTGTTGGTAACATGTTGCCATCGTTTCCGGATCCCAGATTCTACGTTTGCTTCCATTCAACGATTGCGATCTGGGGTTCCCCGTTCTGCAAACAGGCCATTTGCGGCCCGGTTGTTCTTGTTGACTGTGAACGCGCACTAAAAGAGCGATTAATTCCACGGGGCATGGTTTTTGATAATTCGCATCTTTAAAACAAAGCCATATATAAAGATGCCCCTCTTTTAGAACAGGTCAAATCCCATATATTTCTAACAGGTCAAATCCACCGTTGGCGCCTCCCTCTTTTGTTCCCCTCCTTCCGGGCGGCCTCGCAAGAGCAGGTGATCTTTTTCGGCCCGGGGAAGCGGCCAGGGTGTAAGGCAAGATGTGACTAAGCAAGCTGGACATGTGAAGAAGCTGAGATAGACTGCTTCCAGTTGCTGAAATGAATATGTTGTATTTTCCCTTGTTGGCTTTAAAAGGAACTTGTCACTATCCGGACATATTCCTATTTTTTCCAGGGGTCTCAACCAAATGGAAGGATATGGTGGCTCTTTGATCTGACGGCGAGTCTTTGCAAGCACAATCTGCGGCCCGAGGACCGGCCAGCTTGCGCCAATGCGCTCGCTCTGCCGATCTTTGTCTTATATAGCCAGACCTGGCTGATGTGGGGTGTGCAGTGGGGGAGTGCGGAGGTACTTGGACCCTTGTTGGACCTGAAGCAGAGAGGGAGGGGGGAAAAGGGGTCGCATACTTCTGACCACCTGACACACATAGGACATATATATATATATATTATATACACGTCTAGAATAATATATATATATATATACAAATTGCCATCAGTGGCATACACGTGTATGTTTTGGAAGGGCTTCGTGCTTGCAAGTCGTTTTTCTCCCTCTTCGCTGGTGAATCAAATGTTCAATCAGTTGGGCGTAGCTTGGGGCCCGGCCCAAGCAAAGAAAAGTCAATAGGTTGGTCAGGGCTCCTTAAAGGAAATTCATGTTGCAACCAGTTGAAACATGTTGCTTTTTCAACACCAAAATAAAGTTGGAAGCCACCATTTACAAGTTGCAATGTTCAGGTGTATAATGTAAGGATCCCTGTTGGTGTTTCAGTGGGCACTAAAGCCGAAGCCCCTGAAATACTGACTTTGGTCAGTTCGTTTGTTCCAACGAGTCCTCTGAACGTTGGAACTGCCAGCGAAAAGCCTGGCGGAAAAAAATGAATGGGGTTGTAGGGAACCTTGAAACCAAATTGAGTCTTGATCAGAAGAGACTACTGCTGTGTGCAATTATTCAGTCCTTTACATTGTGGCAGAATCTTCCCATTTTAGTTTGGCCATCTTCCTTTGCTTTCCCACAAGCACAAGGACAGGATGCCATCCACGTTCACCCAACGGAGAGGTCAGGAGTTTTGGCACATTCCCACCCATCAAAATGGCCAGTGTATGGTCAATTTGCTAGGAGTGTGGCAGACTCATTGCATATCTTCCATCACAAACAAAACCTTTGATTCGGGATATTTTTGGGCCAGTCAGAAAAGACACACTTTTCCAGATGATTTCGAGGATTTCAACTGGCAGTGTCCGTAAGGGAACGTTCTTTGGAGTCATCCTTTGACCCTGACAAAGCCGATGGTTTTTCAGGTCCATTGCACAGGCATAAATCTGCATCTTCCCGCATGAACCTGCGACCTGGGAGGAGCTATTTGCAACCCAACCAGTAGCAAGATGTAGCAAGCACCCTAGGCAGACCCGAAAAAAAGAAAGGTGCGATCGCTTGCACCAACGGACAATCACGTCTTTTTTCACAGAACCCAGTTGTCAAAACCCATTTAGGGTCACCCATCCTGGAAACACACGGCTGGACAAAAGTGATTCAATGAACAAGGATGCCCACAAAGGTGACTTGATTTCAGTGGTGAGTTGTTACAGTATTACCCAGACCCATACAGTCATGAAGATGTTTTGAAGGGAGCGAGGGGATAGTGAAAACCATAGACTGCTTTTCAAGCTCCGTATTCCTTGTTGACCTGGACCGTCCTTTGCTTGTCTTGGCAGAACGTTTCCCGTTTCTGTCACGGGATTCGAGGACATGGGGCTCCAACTCATACTAGCTAGACCCACGAGCTCAGGCAAGCCGTTCTGGCTTTACGATCCCGAAAAGGGTAGATATGCAATGGAAGAACCAGGTTGCACCCTGCCTTCGGGCTTTGTGAAATTTGTGAAATTTCGCTGGTTTCGATTCCCCGCGCCGCGCCGCCCGACTTCCCCACTTGCTCCGGGTGCGAAGTTCAACGCGTGGCAGGGGGATTGCCGGCCCAGAGGTGTGGCTTGAAGGAGTAGAGGGGCGCGTGATGCCCAACGAGTGATGCTCGCCGACTGCTCCTGGCCCCCTTTCAGGCAGTCTGCCCGGCCCTGCGCGAATTACCCCTCTGCGGCGTGTCGTTGTGGTCTGTTTCTTTTTTTTGGTGTGTGTGTGTGTGTGCTTTTTTGGTGGCACATTTTGTTGGAACGACGACGAGTGGGATGTAGCGACTCCGCACCGATTCTGCCGATTTCTTTGGGGGTCATGCTCGAAAGGGCTAGTTGGATCACACGAGTTCCGCCGGAGGCGTTGATTCGCGCTTGCGCTTTGCAGAAGTGAAGTCCATCTATCCTCCTGAAAATTTCAGCGGCTTAGATCTCCAGTGCTTTGTTTCCATGGAGAGGTTTCTTCTTTGAACCAGCTGTCAACAAAAGGGCGACCGGTTTTGGTCATGGACCTGAAAGGGCCTTCTTCTCGTTTGTGGTGCCTCTTGTTGGGAGGATAGCCGGAGGAATCAATCCAGCATGTGCGTACGAGACGTGCGAGTGAAGTCGACGTTCTTCTCACGGCGTGCACGATGTTGCAGGGCGCCGAAACCGACCATCTTAGCAAGAGGTTCTGTCCGCATGAGGAACCAAAAAGCAAGGCCTACATATTATGGCCATGGGGCACAATCTATGGCAATCCCATTTTGGGGTGGATGAACATCCATTTGCCACCTATTTTGATGTTCACCAGGGGTACAGTATTTTGACCCACTGCTAATATACACGTATGTTGGTACAGCAAATCAGTGAATACGTTTCGGGCGCTGCTCCTGCTTGGCTGTGCCTCAAAAAATAAGGGGCTACCCTTCCTAGGTCCCCCAGCTAGTTGCCCTTTTACCGTTTCTTTTTTGGTTGGGAGGGTTCCCCTACTAAAATACACAAACCAGAAAAAGGGGCACCCTTATTCTAGGCTCTCTACTGGAGGACCTAGGTTCAGTTCGTAGAAGCACAGAAGCCGAACATCTGCGGTCTGCCGCCCGGACGTATCCCGCGGTGTGGTCCAAGCAGTGGCCCAGACGCCTTTGGCTGGGCCGGCGGTGCCTGTCCGCCCGCCCGCCGAACTCTGCTCTTCGAAAGGGGCGGAGTGAGTGCACGCCACACTTATGTGTTGGGTGACCATACGTTACATGGGTGTGGGTCAAAATTAAACCACAAGGGGACCACAGGTTGTAGTCCTTGGTTCCATTTACCAGGGTTCCATTTTGGGTACCCATTTTTGACCCATATGGCCACATGGGTTCTAACTAATAGGTCCCTTTTGATGCGAAAATCACAGCAACCGGAGCCCATTGATCTGTTAGAACCCGTGAAAATGGATGGGTCACCATCGCTGAAAGTGAGGTGCAGCACAGTGAGAACTGATTTAAGACTCTTTTTGCAGCCGCTACCTGCTCTTGACGGCTTGGTGGCCAGTGGCTTATCTGGAAATG